TTTAATTTAGGTTTAAATTTCTCATCAAAACAGAAGAAATCAAATGGTGCGAATTTGAAAATGTTTTTATCATAAAATTGTTTATCGGTAACAATTGCTTGAAATGCTTGAGTGTTAGGAAGATTTGGGTCGCCAGCGATTGCCCAATAAGATGAATCAGTATCACCTTCAATGAAATGAAAACGATTAACATCCATGCATTTATACATAAAATCATAAATGAAAACCAAATACCAGTATTTAGCATTATCTAAAGTGAAGAATGCCTCTTGTAAACATGTATCACATCTATAAAATCTATCTTTAAGCATCACTTGATATGTATCTTCACCTATTTCTCTTATGTTTTTAAACTTATTTGACATACATGCAACGCGTGCCTTCTGTGCATTCATTATTTTAGTCTTTGCGTAATTTTGTGTATTCATTGCATCGTAACCATATGATCCATTAAGTGAAATCTTGCAAAATAAACTTTTTCCTTTATTTCCTTCTAATTCAGCCTTTTGTCTTTCGTTCATAAATTTGTTCGCAAATTCATTAAAACAAGTGTTTTTCGTAAATGTTAAAATTGATTGAATATCATCATGATAAAATGAAATCTGTCTATTAGATACCAAAGATAATAAGAAGAAAATGGTTGATATTGGTTGTGTGTTGATGCTAACTGAGTTAATTTCCTCTGTTTCTGGTCAACTGGTAGATTGTTTGATTTCATGTAATTATACATAAAACTGCCAATTGTTTTTTCATCTGTGATAATATCTAAGTTTCTTATTATCGGTAAAAAGTTTATGTAATCATTAATGTATTTTTCATCAATGTGACCCTTTACTTCAGCCACGAATAAAGTATTTTTCTTCTTAATATTCCCAGTGCTTTTGCTTTCTTTGTTGCTGTATCACAAATGATAACACCATTCAATCTTCCCGGCATATACATTTTATGGTCAGTATATTGAATGAAATCATGAGGATTAGATGAAAATGATGAAGGATATAATGAATTAAAGTCAACACCAACGAAATGAGTCATAATGTTGGTGGTGTCCTCATTTGATACAGTTTTAGTTTCTGGATTATATGAAAGTTTATTAATGTGCGTGATTCCTTTAAGATTAACACGATGTTGAACATTTGATAGACCACCAGTAATTCCATTACGGAGAATGTGATAAGCTTCAACTGAATCTAAAGTCATTGGTAAATTATTTTTTAATGCATAATTTCTTAAATTGATTCTTAAACGTTGAACATCTTCATCTTTATTTGATTTTACGACATTGCAATAACAACACATTAACTGACAATTTTCTTTGGTATGTGGTTTTTCATTATCGATTCTATCCAATGTTGGTTTATTTGCATATGTAAACGCTTTACCACACATTTTGCATTTAGATGAAAGGATTAAATCGTGATAGTATTGATAGTCATCCATTGAAACATTGTTTTTAGTATCCCTTTCTGCTTTTTCATCTTGTTTCTTATATGATTCAATTTTATATTTCCAATACTTTTTTGTTAATTCAAAACTTGATTCCACATTTTCTTCTTCTGGATATGTTTCGTTAGGATTGAAGTTCTTATATGCTAACGCGTAACGAATCATTGATGCATTCGATGATAAAGAAAGATTATGAAGCATGTCAATTTTATAAACAAATGTTTCTTCGATAATTTTATCAATTGGGTCAATCATAATTTCAACGTCTTTATTGCAATAATGAATAAAATATTCTAATCTATTCTTAAAATTTTTAGCATCATTGAGATATATTTGATAATCTGAATCGGATATTGTTTCTTGTGTTAATGCTGAATAAAATGAATCTTGAGTGAATGGTTCCTTTTTATATAATTCATCTTCGTAATTCTCCCATGTGATGAATTGATAAGGGAAAAAGGATTTAACACGTGATTTATTGTTTCCGAAATCTTGAGTGAATTGGTCTAATGTTCCACCCGCTATATAATTTCTGATGTCAATAAATCTTAATTCATATGGACAGTTTGTTTTCTTTACAATGATTTGCTTAAATTGTGAAGAAGAACCCAGCATTGATTTTATCTTCCATTTTGCAGTATTTAAATCACGAAGAATTAAATTTAAATCAAACTTTCCCGAATTAAAACCAATGATATTCACTTTATTAAATTCTTCATCTAAAAGCTCTTTAAATGCTTCCTTCTGTTTTCATTTAATGTATGAGACAAAGTCCCCGCCGTTTGGTCCGTTTGCGACTTCATTAATTCTTCATATTGTTCAATATTTGATTTAGCAACTAATGAACAGGTTGAAAATAAAAACTCAATCCAATCAGAAATAAAAGAATCACTCGAAGTTAAGCAAAAATTCCTCGTATATGTTTTATCGTTTAATTTAACCGTTGATGATACCATGAATGGTTTTAAGTAAGCGTTCAAAGTTGCACACTCAGAAAGTTGTAATTCTTCTTTAGTCTCTAATGTTTCGAAGTCAAAAGTAATATAATATCTTGTTGGTTTATAATATTCCTGCAAATTATGTGCTAATAGCCATTGATATATCTTCTGTTTCGTATATGTGGTGCATATGGTTGTTGTGTGTTTTGCAATTGAACGTCTTGAATTAATCTTCCATTATTTTCTTTACATTTCTCACAATGTTTTAAAAATCTTCTTTGGTTTTTCCTTTCTGGATCATCACGGATAGAATATACTTCTTCTTTGCAAAAGGGGCAAACTTTATATCCTGTGAGTGCTTCAACGTCTGTTATTCTGTCAGCGTGAAGTTTTCCACATGGACTCTGTGTTAATAAAATATTTACTGTTTCAAATTCTGGATCTATCATTATTGATTCCACTAATGGAAAGTCTACCTTGTTAATGTCTACGTCTTCTGGTTGAGGGTCACAATAATAAAAATCAATATTAACGTTTAACATTCTTGCTAACCTCTCACTTTCTGATGAAATGTCAAATCCTTCATATGCATCTATGGCTTCATTTAAATAACTTCTACGAGTTTTAGGATTAACACCATCAGGAATGTTATAGAAGCGTTTAAATAACCTTCTACCTTCGGCTCTTATTTGATTATCATTCATTTTAGCTGTTCCATTTTTGTTCATTTATGTAAGAATAAAAATTAAAAAATAAATAAAAATAAAGTTTATTTTTTTAAAGTCCGAGACTCAGAGAGTCCAGGGCTAAAGTCCATAAAATGAATTAAGAACACATAAATTTTTATCATCTGCGACGTGACGAATACATTTTAATTTACTCAAGAATGCGTACCCTGATACATTAAATCTAATTCCTGTCTTATTTAATTTCACAACTTTGAAAAGGAATGTATGAATAGCTATAAAATGATGAGAAGATGTTTTATGGGTTGCTTCCATTTTTTCTGAAATAAATGAATAAATATAATGTTTATAAGTTTTCATATCTTTTATGTTCTTAATAACGAATGGTATAGACCTTTCCACTTCGTCTTCCTTCGGTGCTGTTCTTTCATATGAAACATTATTGGTATCTTCAATAATGAAACCACAATCACATAAAATTTTATATGTACCAATTGTTTCTTTTGATATTTTATCTAACAAATCAAAAACTTTATCAACACCTGTACATTTATTTAAATAATAATTTGTGTAAATATCATGGTCTTCTTTCTTAATCGTATTTGTTGCATATGTTACATTTTTCAGTGCTTTTTTGAATTTTTCAGAATCAAGAGGAGGTGAAAGTAATATACATGGATAATCTCCATCGTCAATAAATTGTAACTTATGTTTATGAATAAATTTTGTGCCTTCTTCTGAAAGTGTTTCGTCAATATCACCATCTAATAAATTTTTAGTAGATTCCAAAAAGTAATTTTTATATCTTTCCTCATGTGATTTTTGAACTGCTGATTCTGAAGCTGGGATATTCATTAAACCCTCTACTTCATTCTCAGCATTTCTCAATTCCTTAATTTTTTCATCTATTTCATTTCTTAATTGTTCCAATTTCTCAATCTCATCGTTATAATATTCATCTTGTTTAATTTTTTCTTCAAAATATTCAGGAGGTGTTTCAAGGCTCTCTGAGCCCAGGTCCTCTGGACCATAAAGAGGAATATTCTCCTGTTTTTCAACTTTTTTGGGATATAAATATCTCATTATAGCCTTTTTAGTAATTGGTCCGTTATATTTAAATTCATTCAACAATCTGGAAAACTCTTTCACATTCTGCATATATGTTGGATAAGAACCGTCTCCAAAATTTTCTAAAATATTTTCTAATTCTGAATTAGTGAACTTTAAAGATTTCAATGAATTAGTTGTTATACTCATTTATTATAAAATAAAAAATAAAAAAAAATAAATTTAACTTAGTTTTAATTTTACGTAAGAATCATACATTTTTTTAATGATTTATTCAAAAACGTAAGAATAAAAACCGTAAGAATCATACATTTTTTACTTCATATGTTAAAAAAAATGATACAAAATCGTTCAATATCGTATGAATTCTTACGTTTACAAAAAAAGTCACACAACCCGTCAACATATACTACTTAACATTTTTAATATTTACATTTTAATGGAGAGTTTACTGTGAAACTCTTCAACTATTATAATATATACTCACAGATTTTGTAATTCTTTAAATAAAGTTTATAAAATGTATTTAATTAACCTTTTTTTCTATTCAAATATGCGTCTTAAATATACGCAAGAAAAGTGTCTTGATAAAAAAATCAGTCCACATAAAGTCTTGATCTGGATCATTAACTAATTTCAATAATAATTGAATTTCAGAACAGATTATCAAGATTAAATGCATGTTTTTGTGTATAGTATTTTTGAAATTCTCCTTTTTTATGATATATTTTGATGATTCACGTTTTTTGAATTTGATATCTTGATTTTGAAGAGAAAAACATAGGATATATTTAAATCATTGTAAAATTAATAACATCTTTAGTTATAAAATAAAATAATTTTGAAGGAAAAAAGAATTTTCTTATTTCTCATCCGGAAGTGCGTAGTTCTTACCTGGAACAACATCAAGGTAGTCCTTTCTACCAATTGTAATCATTGGGCCACGCATTTCAGGAAGCATATTGAATCCAGCGTTTGTAGTATCAGATTTCGGTTCTGGCAAACGTCTTCCGATTTCGGAGCGTCTTCCTTTGAGAAGCTTGTCGTAATCTGGAACGTAATCAGCTGGGCCTGGTGTAACAGCTGCTTCGGAACCTGCTTTCTCGCGACCTCTCATTGTATATCTCTTTCCTTTGCCGATTGTTGTACCAAGATCGTAAGCGCCAGGACCTGGTGTCATAGCGCTGGTTGTACGCTTAGAAATATCACGACGATTTCCGAATGAATACTTAGCAGAGCCAGATCCGAAAGCTGGAGGTACGTAATCGGGTCCTGATGTAGCTTCTGGCTTGTGCATTTCTGTACGTGCATGGAAAACTGTTTTACGACCTTCTGTTCCGAATTTTGAAGGAATTGCGTTAATTGGAACGTCTAATGTCTTTGTCTTCTGTTCGATACGATCATGGATGATGCATTTACGAGCTCCTTTTCCAATTTGGGACTGGTATTCGTATGCTGCTGGGCCTGGACTTGAATCAACTTTTTCTTCTGGACGACGGCTGTGGAAGCATGATGTTCTCTTGCTTAATGAGGAAGGAACAACGTATTCGCCTGGACCTGGTGTAGGATTCTTATCTCCAGTGCGAATCGTTAAATGACTTCCGATTGTATTTTGACGAACTTTTGGCATTGTTGCATCGTAGTTTGGTGTATAAGCTGATGGTCCTGGTGCGGCTGATTCTGGTCCATCTCTTGGGAAAACACGAGCTTTCATAGTGTATTTATGACCTCCAGCACCGATTGTTGAAGGAATAACGTATTCACCTGGTCCTGGATTTGTATTTTTTGCATCTGTCTTTGGATCCTTTCTCATATGGAATGAACTTGCTTGCGATCCCTTACCAAATGCAGGTGGAACATAATCTGGACCTGGAGACTGGTCTAATTTGCTATCTTTTGGTCTACCGTGGAATGAAAACTTAGGTCCTTCACCAACTGTTGATTTTAATGCTTGGTATTGAGGACCTGGTGTTTCATCTTGACGATCTTTAGGTCTTCCTTTGATTGTAAACTTTGGAGCATCAGAACCGAATGCTCTTTCTGTCTTGTATTGATCTGGGCCTGGTTGGTGCGATTTACTCTTGATAATATGAATAACAGTCTCTGTGCTCGTCATGCTTATGAAATTAACGTGCAAAAATCACCCTTCGAATATTTTAACAAAAGCCAATGGTAAATATGAGTTATATGTTACAAAATAATCATTTTTGCACTGCAATTATTCTCTGAAAATGATAATTTAAAAAATCCAAAATCAAAAAAATTATTTTGGTTAATAATTTTAAACATTTCGGAATCATTAGCTATTAAACAATCAAATGACATCTCATATTAATTGCAATTACAATTCCATAAACGTATTTTTTAAGATAAAATTATTAAGAATTATTTGAATTTTTTATATTTTCTAAAAAATTTGGAAAATTTTACAGGCAATCTTGCTTAATAAATCATTTGTTGTTTTCTATTTTATGTATTCTATTTAGATTTTGTTAGAAAATCAATAAATCTTCAAAAATAACTTTTATCTTTTCCAAATTTTAGCCATAATCCTTATATTTGTGGATAAAATTTAATTAATGCAACACACAAAACATATTTCTTTATTCAAATAAGATCCGATTGCAATAAAATCCCAGCGGCGAAATTTTACAATAACCGTAAAATCTTTGTCATATGTTTAGCCTCATTTTCACCTTATTAATGATCAATGGAGGCGTTAAATCAAGTAACAAGCTCACAGCAGGTACCGTTTGGATAACAATGGGTGTTGGAATCCTTTTCTTGGCATTAGCAATCTTATTAACGATTTCATGTTTTTGGGTAAAGGAAGTCAAACCAGAAGACGAACAAAGATATGAAATTTCAAATTCACCGATCAATCTACACGGTAATAATTAATAATATTACATTCTTTGTTGTCATATTTTTTATGTGATTCATCAAAGTACCACTTCACTAAATATTGTAGTTATTTTCTATTCACTTATTTTCGATTTTTATATCTACCCATAGTTTCTCCCTTGTATCTGAAATATTTCGTTTTAATTTAATTCTGATTTATGATCAAAAATTCACATACATATCTACTATCTACATATAAGATTTTTCAAATTACTTAAAAATATACATTATTCTAAATATTGAATTTCATTACTGTCAAAATTCTGAGTTTTGATATAAAACAAAGAGTCATTCATGCACAAATAACTGTGTTAAACTAATTATGATGCATTGTTTCAGTTCATTGGGCTTTGAGATATCAATTCAAACATTTCGAGCCTTTTGTAAATGCATGATCTCATAAATTTAGCCAAACAATAGTTTCAATATGAAAATTCATCCAAATATCCACTTAATATATCTTTGATAAAGCAATTTAAAAAATTGTTCTTAAAACTACAAATGAATCTTTGATTTTTTGACTAAAACTATAACTAACAATCACCAAAATGGAAGATAATTGTATCATTGATAACCACATCATTTTTGAAAGTATTCCGATCAATTTGAATTCAAATCAATTTGAAAATTTACTAAGCTTTTTTCCTGCTCAAACTGCTTGAAACTCTGATGTTTCGGCAAGAAATATCTAACCAAAACCAAAATCTTACGAACAATGCTCATTGTTTTCATTTATTATAATACAAAAACAGAATTTAATCCAAAATTTTGGACCAATATTGAAATCAGCAAGAATTTATCTGGGTTTAATATATTTTTGCCATAATTACAAAACTATATTAACAAATGACATAAAATCATTATGAATGCCATCAATTTTTCTCCAAATTAAAAAAAGTTTTTAATTATTTGATTTTTCCAAGGGAAATGTATTTATCTTACATAAACAGTTATAAATTTTATGCTTTCATGGCTATTACGACATATCTAAAAAATCGAGAAATTTTGGATAACGTTTTTACTGAAAATTATAAAGTTTTTTAGCTTTTGCATTATCCACAAACTTTAAACATTACAATATTTTATTAATCAAAAGATCGTTATTTCGTGTAAACACTTCTCCAAAAAAACTCAAAAATTTTTTTTTCAGGAGTTTTTTGAAATTGGGCTGTTCATCTTCTTCTCCTTCCGGTGATACGGGAAACTATAAAAGAAGGGGCAACCAGCTAACGAACGACCCTGTAGCAGCTCGATCTCAGTCTGGAGTCTCCATGGATTTTGATACTGTCAATATGGTGTATTTTGATGAAATCTTAACAAGCACAAATACGATTGCAGTACCGAATAACATGGCTCCTGTTGTATGCTTCTCGAAATCATCATTTCCAATCTTTTTAGCGCACATGCCAATGAAAAATTCATTTCAATCGAGTTGCAGACTACCTGCTGCAGCGGCCTACGTTGCTAACAGATCTAGAATTATATGTTTCCCTCAAATATCATACTTTGAATCAAAAATTTACAAACATCAAGATACTCGACAATTTATTTTCAACGCAATCTCTTTTATCAGCGGTTCAGCTAAGAATAATCAGAAAGGTCTTGCTTTATGCTTCAGCTCAGATATAAATGCAAAAATTACAAAGTTTTTCTCAAAATATCAGTTTAATATCGAATTTGCTAATTCTTTACCTAGCGATCTTAGTGAATTTAAGTTTTTAATGATACCAAGCTCTTTCAACCTCAACGCTTATGCAGAATCAGTTAATAATTTCTTAAATAACGGAAATGGCATAGCTGTCTTCTTTGATCCAAGCCAAAACTCAGATTTATTCATAGTCAACGATTACATATCAAAATGCGGTCTCAGTTACGTTCCAATTTCAGTAGATTTTGAAACAAAATTTTTAAGCACGACAACAACCAATGATTTCCAAAGTTTATGCGAAAATTCATTAATACGTATTATCCAGAGGTTCAAAAATGCTACACGCCAACATATAAACTACGATTCATCTTTCAGAGATAAAATTGACGTTTTAAAGTTCCACATGTTGGCCTGTGGTGTATACAATCCATCAGAAGTTCATTCCTGCTACAGATCATGCTACAAATACCTCGAAAGAACGAAATTCAAAAAAGGATCTTCATATTGCCAAACAGATGTCCAAAGATGCATTGCCGAGCTCATGCTTTGCATTACAGAGAACATAGACCCTCACGAATACCTCATGCTGCCAGATATTGATGAATTTCCAGGAACAATCGAACAAAGTGAGACAAGTTCATTCGAAATCACAATAGATGTCAAAAAAAAATCATGGAGTACAACAGGACTTTGGGCATTGCCTGGAATCTGCATGGAAATCGAATTCAAAAATGATGATTGGGAAAATGTCATCATTCAGGTCGGATCTCATACCGAAGACTTCCTACAAACAGATATTCCATGGCCAAGATGGCCAGTTGTCTACAGAACTGTTCAAGCTCAGAAAAAGTTATCATTAACGTCTCCTACGGGCGGAATCATATACCTTTACCTCAACGAAGGCGAGAAAAGTAAGTCTGTATCGGTATCTTTCACCAACGTCATTCAATATCCCCATGCAATATTAGATCAACCGACAATCTGGGATGAAACGTGTTTTTCGATGGCCCCGTGGTGCGAGTTTGACTGTGGTAACATTGTTTTTACTCTACCAACGACGAAATCCAGAGAAGCCGATACAGATTGGCTTTTAACGCAGTATTGTAAGCTCGTAACGAGTATTTGGGATTATTTCGAGGTCCCTGATGAAGAGCGAATCAAGTACAGAGTTGTTTTTGATATTGCATTGTCCGGTGAAGGGCCAACCCTCGGATATCCCATTGTTTTGCTTACTTCCTCGGCTTCAAACATCATACAGAAGGTTTCCAAGCCGAACTCAGATATTTTCACGCTTACTTCACTCCTTGTCCTCTCGAACATCAATGAAGGAGCATTTTCTCCGCCGATAGAAACCGCCGTTTCAGCACTTATTGCGGAGAAGATCCTTTCTCAGCATTTCGAGTCTGTGGAACACTTCACGTTCGATGACAAGGATGTTTCTTCGATCTACAACTCACTTTGCGAGTTGCAAATGGACAGCGAAGAACTGCACAAGGCCTTGAAAGCCGGGTGCATGGAAGAGAACGGAAATGGTGACGTAGTCATCGCAAAACTCATGGGAATAGGACCAGGAAATGAAGAAGAGGATAATGGTGAAGATTCACCTGAAACTGCTTAATTAATTATACATGTTTATATTTCTTTCTTTTTATTTTGTATTTTATTTTAAAGTTATTTTTTTTAATCAATTTTCATCTCAATTGGATTGAACTTGTCATTTATTCTATACAAGATAATGATATGAATCGTGATAGAATGTCAAGCACTATGCATGTTTATAATGAACTATTTGCATTAGAATGAAACAGCAAAGGTAACTATACATTCAGTTACATCAATTTAATGAAAACATTTTTCGCATATATCTTTCTATATCTTTGTTTCAGTAAAGAAAAGGCTGATATCAGTGAAACATAATATGCTGTTGCAGCATTAATGTATATCAACATAATATGATTGTGATAACTAAGGATCTTTGATACAAGATATGTATAAAATAAATTATGAATGAAAGGTTAAAATGCTCTTCCTTTACATTGTATTGAACTGTACAATAGTAAATACAGATGTAATGATTAGATAGGGTGAGATATGGTATATGTATGATATTAAATCAGTAACATCAATTATCATAAATCTTAACTATTCTGTTCAGATAAAACAATTCAAATGATATAGTAGTATATGTTAATGAAGCTTTAAGTTCATGCTGCCTGAGCTACAATCAATTAAATATAAATTTGTCATGTAAATTATTTTTGTTCGTCAAAGATTTTGTAAACAATGTTTTTGACAGAGGTCAAAAATTTTATATGTGGGCGCGCAGGACGGTCTCATTCGAAAAAGATAGTCGAATGGGACCATGGGCCAATAGCTCTGGCTATAAAAGCGAGAAGCTAGAAGACAGAATAACTGACGAGCTTACAGATTTAGAAAATTGGCTAAAACCAAGCGAATCAGAAGAGCTCAGTCGACTTCTTACAATACGCAGATTTGTTAATTTCATTGAAGAATATTTTCGTCCATGTATTGTAGTCACACAAGGTTCATCAGCGACAGATACGTTTTTACCTACAAGCGATATTGATTTAATTGTTACAAATCTACCTGATATACAAGATGAAGTAAGAATCCTTAAGAATATTACAAAATTATTCTGGCAACACCAATTAATTGTTCAAGGATTCGTAATTCCAGGTGCAAAAGTACCAATTGCGAAGTGCATTGACAGAGCATATGGCTATAATATTGACATTTGCATAGGAAACGCAAACGGATCACTCAACGTGCCAAGAGTTAAAAATTATTTAAGTCATTACCCACAGATTCGACCAATTCTGATGTTCCTGAAAGCATTGACATACGTTACTGATACAGATAATCCAGCAACAGGTGGATTTGGATCAAATCACTTATTAAATCTAGTTATCTTTGCAATACAAGCATTTCCAGAAGCTAAATCAACTGGTGAACTACTTTTGAAGCTCATGGATTGCATTGCAAATAAATTTAATTATTTTATGTGCGGAATTTCAATTGTTAATGGCGGTTGCCTGTTTTCCAAGCCAGATACCAATAATATAGACTTCCAGTGTCCTCAAGCCTTCGTTTTTGAGGATCCTCAGATGCATAATATTTTCTTCGGTGGCAGAACCCATAAAATGCCTTTATTAGTCTCCAACTTCAAGAAGGCCTTGGTACATGTCAACGCTGTTGATCCAGAACATTCTTCTGCCCTTACAGCGATACTTGGAGATTTACATGAAATTTCTGAGCGAAGACAGGCCATAGACCGAGTTGCAAGGTTCCTGAATGGTTCGTTGAAGGACTTCGCTTGCGAAATTGATTTAATGTCGAAATCGGCTTGGACATCTAAGAAAATTGTTCCACATCACGGTATCGTAAGAGTCGGACCAGATGCAAATAGAGCGCAGTTAACAAGGTCAATAAGTAACCCAGAAGGCTTTGATTCAAAGAATCATGCGAAGAAAGCTTGGCAACGCGCTTTGGAGAAGAGGCAAATGATAAAGGAAATTAAGAAGGAAGTAACACACTCAAGAAGTATCCCTGATTTTAAAGATTTCAAAAAATCATCCCCTTTTAAGAAGAAATTCAGAAAATAATCGGAAAATCAATGTTTTCTGTTAATGTGAAACGGATTCCTTTGATATAAATTTATAGAGATTTTTTTTGTCTTGTAAACTATTTATGAAAAAATAAATTCTATTGCAAACGATTATTTTTATTTCAAATAGTAATTCCTAATATTTTTTTGCCATGTAAAGTAAAATCTTTTGACAATTTTTTAATGTCTTTGCAATTGCTATCGAAAATCATTTTAATAGCAATAGCAATTTCAAATATCTTAACATATATGACTATAAGAAATTGGTTAATGAAATCAAAACTAGGTATTATCGATTCTTCAATATTATCAGATTTATTATGGACATTTTTCATAACAATCGTATCCACATGTGCTGTCCATATGTCATACAAAAAGAATTTAACTACAGTTTTATTCTTAATTTGCTCAGTTCTTACATATCAAAGCTGTTATATTTTTTACAGAGGATTTTCCTTATATTTTGATCCAGCATCATTTATTGGACTATACGGCTCGTATTGGATGGATAATCCAAAGCACCCAATTTTTGGAAATATCAGCCGTGAATTTAAATGCTGTGGTTTTCACAAAGTTGATGAGTTTTCAGATATAAAATGCAGATACCCTAAGGCAATTCCATGCTTAATGGCCATTTCGGAAGCACTTAATAAATCAATCAAAGATTCAGGCTTAGTTATTTCTGCACAAGCTGTACTACTTCTAATTTCAGCAATAACCATATTTGTTTATTTCTTAATTGTTACAAATTCATTGAAATGAATTAATTTGCTATCTGCTTATAATAACTGAAATATTTCGCTATTATTTCAGTTTGTTGTGTTAAATAAATGTTATGTTTATCAACTCTTTCAAATCTTATTAACAGTTCCTCATAATAAATTACCCTCAATTTTTTACTTTTGCAACTCAATATGGAGAATTTTTTTCAAATTATAGAACTATTTGAAATACAATAGAGACCAACACTGATATGGAAGTATAGGATATCAAAGAACCTTTATAATGGTAATACTATGATGAACAAATGCTAAAATCTGACTCGGTTATAATCAAATTTTTGATCTCAGGGAAATTGAAAAAGTAAAAATTTGAGGGTATTTTGCAGAATTACCCACAATTCAAGATATTATTGTGCAATCATACATTGTTTACTAAAATCGTAATGACACAATTTGATCAGATACAGAAATGTCGAAATAGTGTCAGAAATATAAATAATTGATGCTGGTATTGATTCATGAGCGAAATATTTGATGAGATTACTGAGAAATTTAAGGATCATATATACGTTTCCGTTAATCTGATATGAAGATTGAGAAATGAGATTTTATATTCCTAAAGTAAACTCAGTTAATTCGAGTTTATGAGTTCAAAATGTTTCTTCATTCAAGGGGATAATATAACTCAAGAAGGTTTTGGCTGATTTTCGCCAAACTCAGCATTATACATATATACACTATGCATAGTCTCTAGCAAGAGTTTCAGGCAAGATATTGGTTGGAAGGAAGTGATTCAAGCAATTTATTGATTTTTTTTTTCAAAATTTTGATTGTCATGTTTTGTAAAATCTTTCTGAATTTTTAAACGTTCACAAAATTTATCGGGCGAGGAATTCACTCAAGAAATGTCTTTTAGGAGTTTTACGTTTTCTACTGGGGTTTCATCCGACAAAGACCGAGCAAGATCAATCCTTAACAAGCTATATCCAGGCATTAGAGAAGTTAAAACTCCATTAGGGACAGAAACGCTTACAATTGCAACTCAAAATGAGATAATGTCAGTGTACGGGTCTCCACGATATTATGCAACTATATCAGTACTAGAAGATGTTGACTCTATGAAATTAGATAGAATTCCTTTTCCTTCAATACATCAAATCGCATCCTTGTGTTTTAATAGGGTTTATGCATTAATAGTCGGTTTCACACAACAAGAATCATTAGAACTTGCAAAATATATCGTCCTTCTCGGTGGGAAATTCACTCCTCATTTCAATTCTGATATAACAGTTGCCATTTCTCCTACATTTCTATCTTCCCGCATCAACCAAGTTACAGAGATTAATATTCCAGTAGTTACAAGCCAATGGGTCAAAAAATCTTTTGAATCATTAACTTGTTTTGAGCCAAACAGTTGTTTACTGCCACCATTCTCAGGATTACAGTTCACATCTACCGATTTGACACCAAGTGAACACAAAAGAATCAGAAATCTTGTAGAACAAAACGGCGGATTTTGGAGTGATCTTTATAACGAGAAAACATCAATAGTTATATCACATTCATTGTGTACATCACGAAAAATCGAGCTTGCTCTCAAAGAAAACGTTCCAATCATCAAACCATCGTGGATTTACGATTGTTCATCTAAATTCGTTCCACATCAGAAGTATTTAATCAACTGGTGGTGCGAATCGACCAACAAGAGTGATCTCTTTGCTGGAATGTCGTTTTCTATCCATTGCGACGTTAATAATTTGGATGTTTTAACAGAGATCATTAAAATGAATGGAGGAGAGATGAAAGAAGATGCAAGTCATTATATTGTACCTTACGACTTCAAAGGAACAGGAAATTTTGTAACTCCGAGGTATATCTACGATTGTGTCACAGAGAAAGAGCTTCTTGATACAAAATCCAATGTTCTTTATACACCACTAGGTTATAACCTGCCTCTTGATGATTGTAAGAACAAAATTTTTTCATTATTGGATTTACCGGAGACAACAAGACAATTTGTCGCAGAAGGTGTTCGAATTATAGGTGGGAAAGTCATTTACAAGGAATCTAGGAACTCAGATTTCTTTGTAACAACAAAATCTTTCAATGACAAGTGCGTTTCATCGTATTTCGTCATTGATATCCTTGAAAAAGGAAAGATTCCTAACATGAAATGCTTCCCAGCCCTTCCTCAGACCCCTCTTTTGAAGAAAATCTGCATGGATATCATTAGACAACCGAAACAGAACATGCAGAGCCCCGCAACAGCAGTTCCTATCGAAAGTGTTGATGATTTCACCCAGAAAGTTTCTGCAACTTACTCACAAGATATTATTGAATATGATCTTGTGATTTCACAGTCACAGTTCGTCAGCAATAGCAAAGGACAAAATGATCCTTTGATGCTGATGCTGAACGACGAAAGATAATTTTTATCGTTTTTTTAATTGTTTGAATTAAACCATGTTTTATATTTGTTTGGAATCACATCATAATTTATATACATATGAATGCAATTGCAAGTGATTTTAATTAAATTATATTTATTTTTTGATTTGCTATTGATATTTATGTTTTCATTACATGCAATGAGAAATTACGATAGTAAGATTCAAATCTGATTTAGGCTATCAATTGAATAGTTTACTTGATTTCATCTCTATAAAAATTGTATCGCCTCACTTTAAATACATCGTATTATTCACGATCAATTATTATATGTCTATAATTTAAGTGTCAGAAATTCTCAATTTGTCAATTCTAGATTTTGATGAAATTTCAAATAAGAGCCGGTGTTGATGAAATTGTAATAATTTTTATTTTATGAATTCAAAAAGGGATTTGTAATCTTCAGAATTTAGTTTTCTAATGAGTGAAGGACCTATTCAAGATTTTGAATTCATTGCCACTCATATCAAAGATTACATTGATGATTATAAGTTCTTCAATGTATTTGAAATCGATGATATACGTCAAATCATGAAATACGCAAATTTAAAGTCGGAAGATTTCATTTCTCTGCTTGAACAATCCAGATCTGCAATCAAAGCAAATGATCTATATACATGCATTCGAAATGCCAAAGTTTCAATTCTTAACTACAATGAGGCAATTTCAACACTTAAATCTATTCAAAAATACATGAAACTAAATGTATAGATGGTATTATTGATGTTTTAAGTCAAAATGAGAAAGGAACATCCGAATCAATTCAATTGCCAAACTCTCAAAACATAGAGAATGAGTATTTAAAGAAAATCAATGATTTAAAGAATTCAGATGATTTCGATGCAGTTTACAAATTCTTTGATGAACTTTCCAAAGCAAAAGATCAAATAAGAAAAGCAGTTGAAGAAAAGCTTTGGGAAAAAGAAGATAAAAATAAAGAATTCAACATTCTTCATTTTGCATGTCGAGAAGGAAATCTGAGTCTTGTTCAATCTCTCATTGAATTTGGCTGCGACAAAGAAACAAAGAATAATATAGGACAAACACCACTAGCTATTGCATCAAAAAGTAACAAACTTGACGTCGTCAAATATCTTATCTCAGTTGGAGTTGATAAAGAAGCAAAGAACAATAATGAAAATACTCCACTTATTTGGGCATCAGGAAATGGTCATCTTGAAGTTGTTAAGTATCTTATATCAGTTGGGGCTGATAAAGAAGCAAAGAACAATAATGGAAATACTCCACTCATTTTAGCATTAATAGAAGATCATCTTGAAGTTGTTAAATATCTTATCTCTGTTGGGGCTGATAAAGAAACAAAGAATAATGATGGATTTACTCCACTCATTGCTGCATCAACTAAAGATCATCTTGAAGTTGTCAAATATCTTATATCAGTTGGAGCTGATAAAGAAGCAAAGAATTATAATAGACTTACTCCACTCATTATTGCATCAGGTCAAGGCCATCTTGAAGTTGTTAAGTATCTTATATCTGTTGGGGCTGATAAAGAAGCAAAGAATAATGATGGACTTACTCCACTCATTTGTGCATCAGCTCAAGGTTATCTTGAAGTTGTCAAATATCTTATATCAGTTGGAGCTAATAAAGAAGCAAAGAATAATGATGGATTTACTCCACTCATTGCTGCATCAACTAAAGATCATCTTGAAGTTGTCAAATATCTTATCTCTGTTGGGGCTAACAAAGAAGCAAAGAATAATGATGGATTTACTCCACTCATTGCTGCATCAACTAAAGATCATCTTGAAGTTGTCAAATATCTTATATCAGTTGGAGCTGATAAAGAAGCAAAGAATTATAATAGACTTACTCCACTCATTATTGCATCAGGTCAAGGCCATCTTGAAGTTGTTAAGTATCTTATATCTGTTGGGGCTGATAAAGAAGCAAAGAATAATGATGGACTTACTCCACTCATTTGTGCATCAGCTCAAGGTTATCTTGAAGTTGTCAAATATCTTATATCAGTTGGGGCTAACAAAGAAGCAAAGGTGCTTTTTATAACTGCAGCAGATATGGCATCATCTCAAGGTCATGACGAAATAGCTCAATATCTCAAATCAATTGAAGCTAAATAAAATTAAAATTAAGGGTGCACTTACGCCCCTATGACAGGGCCTTCAATCCAGATATTTAAGGTTAAATTTCAATGGTGCTTCACGCCAGTTGTCAAAAATTTGAATTAAAGTCTGATGGGCGTAAGTGCAGCCTTAAAATTAAATTAAATTAAAAAAAATTAAATTGAAAATTAGTGTAGCATTCGATTCCTTATAATCATTATTGCCGAAGCTACCCCATCAAAGTTAATACTATTCTATTAAAAAACCTTGATATAAAAGTAGTTCAATTTTTAATTTTTCAAATTAAGTGATCAAATTAATGAATAAAAAAGAAACGAACGATAACAAAATAAAAAATAGTCCTGCTACAGTTTGTTGGCAATAGCAAAGAACAAAATTAAGTATTTTTTAATTGTTTGAATTAAATATGTTTTATATTTGTACTAGAATCACATCCTAGTTTATGACCATGCAAATTGATTTCAAGCAATTTCTATATATGCGACTATAAACTTGAAATCATATCCTTCGCGTGTAAACCTTTCAATTCCCTTTTTTAAATTTTTTTGATTTGCTATTAGGTGGGATGGGATGTCAAAACCGCCAGATTTCATTCTACATTACATAATATCAGAAATTCTGATTTTGAGACTCAAATTTAATTAAACACCATAAAAAATTCAATTTGACCTCATCTCAATAAAAATTTTAATCACAATTCATCATTTACTATTTAATGCATATTTATTAGTTTTACTAAGCAAGAAGTCTCAATTCGAGATTGAGAGTAAAACTGTTTTCTTCTCTCAAAATAGTCTTACCAAAATTTTCCAATCGCTGACCTTTCTCTCAATTTTTATCACTACTTTTCAATTGCTTCACAAAGCAATCATATTGAACAATTAGTATCTATTAATATTCATTTAAAATTTATTTGATTATTCATTCAATTTATTTTTATAATTTCTACTTCATTTTTCTTTTAGCTGAAATGAGTAATCTCGTTCAAGACAAAGTGATATTCCAGACTATCTCAGCAAAATTGCAGAATTAAATTCAAATTCTTTGATGTACTTGTCAAAACAGGAAATCATAAAATTTTCGGAAAAGCAGTTGATGAAAAACTTTGGGAGAAGACAGATAAAATTAAAGAATTTAATGTACTTTTGATGGCGTGCGTAAAAGGAAATCTCGGATTAGTTAAACATTTAATCGAATGTGGTTGCAACAAAGAAACAAAAAACAAAGGACAAACTCCACTCATTATAGCATCCCATAGTAACAGTCTTGAAATTTTCAAATATCTCATTTCTATTGGAGCTAATATAGAGGCCAAGGATGATAATGGATTCACTCCACTCACGTTTGCATCAGGAAATGGTCATCTTGAAGTTGTTAAATATCTTATATCAATTGGAGCTAATAAAGAAGCAAAGAATAATAGTGGATTTACTCTTCTCATTGGTGCATCACATCGAGGTCAACTTGAAATCGTTAAATACCTTATTTCAGTTGGAGCTGATAAAGAAGCAAAAGATAATAATGAATGGTCTTCGCTCTTTTATGCATCACTTCGCCAACATCTTGAAATTGTTAAATACCTTATTTCAGTCGGGGCTAATATAGAAACAAGGAATAATTATGGATTAACCCCACTCAATGCTGCATCAATCCACGGCGCAACAGAAATTGCCAAATATCTAATCTCTGTTGGAGCTGATATAGAAACACGAGCTAGTGATGGATCAACTCCACTCATTTGTGCATCAACACGAAACCATCCTGAACTTGTTAAATATCTTATTTCTGCTGGAGCTAATTTAGAAACAAAGAATAGCTATGAATCAACTCCACTCCTTGCTGCATCAAATGTAGGCAACCTTGAAGTTGTTAAACATCTTGTCTCAGCTGGAGTTAATAAAGAAGAAAGGGACCAAGATGGATATACTCCACTCCTTTTAGCATCAGCTCATGGCCATCTCGATATTGTTAAATATCTCATATCTCATGGAGCTGAAATAGAAGCAAGGGATGATAAGGATAAGACTGCTCTCATAGTTGCATCAGGAAGTGGTCATCTTGATATTGTTAAATATCTTATCTCAGTTGGAGCTAATATAGAGGCTAAGAATAATTCTGGAAGCACTCCACTTCTTTTTGCATCAGGATATGGCCATCTTGATATTGTCAAATATCTTGTTTCAGTAGGAGCTGATAAAGATGTAGAGGATGAAGATGGGTATACACCACTTTTATATGCATATGCAGAGGATCAACTTGATGTCGTTAAATATCTCATTTCAGTTGGAGCTAAAGTTCCTGATTGAGATTATAATTAACATAGAATTTGCATTGTGTAGGATGTGCTGTATAAGTTTATTTATTTATTATTTATTTATTATTATAAACAAAATTCAGAAATATTCGAGATATTTTTTTAATGTTTTCTGATTTAGTGAGATTTCAGAACTGGGTTGTGGATAATCTTCATATTGGAATGAAGGTCAGAACATCGACCTTTATAAACTGATTGCACAGACTTTATATAACCTGAGAAACATTTTTTTTTCATATAAATAATCGTTGATTTTATATTGAAAAAATGGACACATCAGGATCGACATCACCCGGTCGCTCTTATGCTCTCAATTCAAGTCCATTAAGTCGTTTGAGCGAATTACTTAAGGATGTCATCGATAAAGAAGTTCCACAATTGAACGATTTCACAAATGGAAGGTTATTTTTAACTAAATTGGGAACACAACTATCAAATACTCTCCAATCTTCAAAACACACACCAATATCTTACGATCTTGCCAAAATGATAGATTTTGGTTTTCGTTATTTCTTAAATGAGATTGTTACCGAAACAAAGAATTCATGCTTATCATCAAACGCTTTAACACGATTGCACACCCCACCAACACTATCACTCGACAATTCAGATCAAGAAAATCAAGAAGTTGACAAGTTAAAAGCAGATTTATTTTTTGTTCGTAATGAAAAAGAAAATCTTACACTCGAATTAGAAAATCTTAAAACGAAAGTCAAAAATACTAAAGAATCATTGATCCAATCCAAAAATCAATATTCGCAAATGACAAACCAATCCCAAACGAAAATAAACGATCTCCAAGCATCGTTAAAGCAGACTACTAAAGAGCGCGAGGAATATCGAACGCAAGTTAACTCTCTTCATGAAAAATACGTAACATCTCTAAATGATATCCGAGATTTAGAGAACAAAATGCATAAAATTGATGCCGAACTTACGTTATCCAAGCGATCCGCAAATATTTCTAAAGCAAAAGTTTCAAAATTGGAAAATCAAATTGAAAATCTTCAACAAACCATTTCTACGCTTTCCGAATCAGCTAATTCACCAGTAAATTCAAGAAGATCATCAAATGCTAACCAAAACAGCTTTACAGAAATGAAACTCTCTCCACAAAGAGAAGTTTCTAATTCTTATAAGTCAACAGCACAAGAAACTCTTAAACACGCACAAGAGAAACTTGATGAAACCAACGAAGACATGATTTTGGCAAATAAATTGAAAGCAAAAATCGAAGAAGAAATTAGTAAAGAAATAGAACTTCCTGATAATGCAGAACAAGAAAGCGAACAACAGAATGAGCGGTTCGATGCTCTAAACAGATCAATTAGTGACCTTGAGGAAGAAAAATCTAAATTACTCGGCGGACTCAATTATTACAAGCAAATTGTCAATAATATCAAGGATGAACTCGATTTCAAAGGCAATGAAACCGAAATTTCCTCAAATATTAAATTATTAATTTCAAAATCTCAACAAAATACCGAAAACTTTGATGAAAGAAGCAGTTACGAGTCTCTCATTAACGGATTAGTCAATTTTATTGCTAAATTCGTTAATAATGATGATGTCACGAGTATTCCTTTGAAATCTTTAGTTCCCATCAATAAAAACGAGTCAATTCTTGAAACTGTTAAGTCAGCGGTTACAAATTCCCTCAATTTGGTCAGTGAATCCAATGAAACACCTATTTTTGAAGCATCAACCGGTTCCGACAAAGCTGTAGAGGACATTATGAACATATTAATGCCAAAGAAGAACTACAAAGTCTTCGCAGTCGTCTCTCTCCTTTCATCTGTCAACGGAAGACTGATTGAAATAATTAATGAGAAAAACCGTCGAACGAAGTCATTATTACAGTATTTCCCTGACTCCTCTGATGACAACATCCTTAATAATGTTCTTGATTTCGTTCGAAATCTTCAATCTACCTTTATAAACGCAAAACACATTTTAACTTCACAATTTCAACGAGAAATCGACGATCAAAACGATGTTCGATGCATTTCCATGTTTGTTGATGAATGCAGCAGCGTTTTGACTAACATGGAAGTCGAACTTCGTCCAATTCTTGGATCCGACACAGATTTCGCAGAAATTCCTATCAAAGCGCGTACAATTATCGATGAAGTTAAGCAAACATCACTTTCCTCCACCAAAGCAAACAAAACAAAGCAAGAAGAAGAGTTCCAAAAGTTAATTTCAGAAAATTCGGAATTACGAAACAATATTCTTCAACTTCAGACACGATGTAACAGATATACACAGCAGATACAAGCAGTTGAAGCCGAAAACATTGGAATTAAAAAAGAAATGAACGATAATAAATTAGAATTTGAGAAAAAGATCGAAAAAATCATGAAAGATGAACAGGATAAGTATGTCAATGAGCTCCAGAAGGTACAAAAGGCATACGATGATCATAAAGCTGAATTAGAACTAAAGAATCTAAATTTGAGTTCCAAACTGAAAGCAAGTCAACAAAATGCTGAAGAACTATCATTGTTGTACCAAGAAAATGCTTCAAAACTCAGAGAAAAAGAATTTTCTCTCGAAAATATTTCACCTACAAAGAATTTCGATAATAGTTATTTAATTCCTATTCTATCTCAATGCTTTGTAGTCACTGGCCAATGGAATGAGTCAAAAATACAAAAAGCAGTCGCTACTTTGATTGCTAGACTGCAAAGACTGGAAAAGGAAAGAGCTACAGCATCTAGAACACCAAGAAAGTAAATTTTATATATATATTTTTTATTGTTAGAAGATTAAAAATTATAATATACTTTTTATTATGAGTGTACATCTTAACACACAATATTATATTTTTCATTTTCATTCTTTAAAATAATGCTCATCCTTAATAATTGCATTATTTTAATAACAAAAAAGATTAATAGTCATATGAGGACATTACTAATTTATATATATATTTTTTATTGTTAGAAGATTAAAAATTATAATATACTTTTTATTATGAGTGTACATCTTAACACACAATATTATATTTTTCATTTTCATTCTTTAAAATAATGCTCATCCTTAATAATTGCATTATTTTAATAACAAAAAAGATTAATAGTCATATGAGGACATTACTAATTTATATATTTTTTTATTGTTAGAAGATTAAAAATTATAATATACTTTTTATTATGAGTGTACATCCTAACACACAATATTATATTTTTCATTTTCATTCTTTAAAATAATGCAATTATTAAGGATGCACTTACCACTTTCTGACATGCTCTTATAATATCAACATATCTTTATTTTAATAACAAAAAAGATTAATAGTCATATGAGGATATTACTAATTTATCTAGTTTTCTCACTTAATTAAAAGGGTTTTACATGGGGTGCAAAAAATGCGCAAAAATGAAATTGAATCTGCGCATATTTTGCGCATTTGAAAAAGTGTGGAGTTGACTATTATAAATAATCAAAACCATTAATAAAGTATAGCCACAATTGCATATGCAAAATATATTAAAGAAAAAATGCTTACATCTTTTGACTACTTTACGCGGATAGATTTTTAAACGCACAAATAATGCGCAGTTTGAATGTAAAATAATCGTTTTTGCGCATTTTTTGCACATGTAGGAAAACCCTAAAATAAAATATCGATATCAATTTAGTATCTGATAAATAGTTTTTTAGATTGTCAACCTTTATTAAATAACAATACTTTCAAGTATCTTTCCGTTACATGCTCATATCATAACATGCTTAATAATTACTGATCATATGCTATATTTAAAGTCTTCAAAACAGACTATATTTATAATTGCTACAAATTGACCAAAATTGACTAAAAAAATAGAAAACTTGAACGTTTAAACGTCATTATAAAAGAGTGGCTTATTTGGTTACAACGAAGATAGATATTGGACTATTTCAAGGTGTTCATTAGCTGATGCATAGAAGAGTGCAGTAGATCCTGCAATATCTTTTGCATCTTTTTTAGCTCCTTTCGAGATAAGATATTTAACAACTTCCAGATTACCACCTGCTGCTGCAGCCATGAGAGGTGTTGTTCCATTCTCATTCTTTGCTTCAATATTAGCCCCAACTGAGATAAGATATTGCACAATTTCAAGATTGCCCAATACAGTTGCAATCGTGAGTGGATTCTTACCGTCTATAGCCTTAGCTTCTTTATTGGCCCCAACTGAGATAAGATATTTAATAATATTAAGCTTGCCTAATTGGGTTGCAATAAGGAGTGAAGTATATCTATTATTATCCTTTGCTTCTTTATTAGCTCCTGCTGAAATAAGATATTTAACGATCTTAAGTTGACCATTAATTGATGCCCGCAGGAGAGGTGTTTGTCCATACGTTGTCTTTGCTTCTTTATCAGCTCCAACTGAGACAAGATATTTAACAACTTCAAAATGGCCATTATTTGTTGCCGCACTGAGTGAGGTGTATCCATAATTATTCTTTGCTTCTTTATTAGCTCCAACTGAGACAAGATATTTAACAACTTCAAGCTGACCTTCAATTGATGAACAAATGAGTGAAGTATGTCCTTCATTAGTTTTAGCTTCTTTATTAGCTCCAACTGATATAAGATATTTAACAACTTCAAGATGACCTTTAGCTGATGCAAACATGAGGGGTGTATATCCATTTTGATCCTTTGCTTCTATATCAGATCCAGCTGATATAAGATACTTAACAACTTCGAGAAAACCTATTTCTGATGCAATAATGAGTGGAGTAGATCCATCATTAGTTTTTGCTTCTTTATTTGCTCCAACTGAGATAAGATATTTTACAACTTCAAGTTGACCATTTTTGGATGCATGCATGAGCGGTGTGAATCCATTATTATCCCATGCTTCTATATTGCATCCACATTCAACAAGATATTTAATAAATGTGAGATATCCTTTACCACATGCATAATGAAGACTCTTATGATCTTTAACTCCCTTGTCAAAAACCCCTTCTTGATTATTTCTCTCATAGTTTTTTCATTTTCTACTTCGCAATATTCTGCAAATAATTTAACTATTTCTTCTGTATTTCCCGAATTCTCTATTTCATGATATTTTCGTAGAATCTCATTTATAATATCTTTATTATCTTGAATTCTAGTTAAATCGCCTTCATTCTCTCTGTCTTGAGCGTTTGTTGATGGTTTTTCATTGTCATTATGTGGTTCTTGGATTGAATTTAATTTTGTTTGACGTTTGGTGGCTTTTCTTGTAGTTTTCACTGCCTTTTTCTCATTTTCTCATAAAAAATCAATAACACCATCTAATACTTGGAGATTCAAGAACTTTTGCATTGATTTAAGAAATAAAATTGCTTCTTTGCTGTTTTTAATCGAAACTTTAGCATTTCGAATGCATACGTATAACTCATATGGTTTAATTGCAGATGTGGATTGGTTAAGAAGAGTGAAATCTTTCGGCGTTAGATTTGCGTTTTTCATGATTCTACATATATCTTCCTTTGCAAATGTATCAAAGAACTTATTATCTTCAATGTAATCTTTGATATGAGCTGCAATATATTCATAGTTGTGAGTCAATTCCACACTCATAATAAAAAATTCAATTCAAAGTCGAAAAAATAAAATTTTTCTAATTTCAATGAAAAGTCGTAATTTTTTTTTTGTTTTCTATTTAGCCTTAAGTTTCATACCACTGAAGTAATATATGTCAAATATTCATTTTTGTAACTTTTAGAATCATTTTTATGCACCATAAAGGTTACAATAATATTGAATTTTTATAATTTTATATTTTTATAAGAAAGTAAATGGTGTTATTCTTCCTCGATTCTTTGCTTCTGGCCATCTCTTAATGTAACTTTTTCTCTTTTGATGTGCGCACATGAGCATATATGAACCACCAACAGTGGCAAATATCACAGCAGTGATTAAACGAGTATAAACAGCAAAGAATATACATCCACTAATTTCAAATGTATAATTTGGAGATGTTATTCTATTGAATAAGAAACCTTTTGGAAGGAAACGTTCTTTAGAGCCTTTTGGACGAAGGTGAGCAAGTGTGTAATGGCAATAAAAGTTTAAGCACTCACTGACAAACCAAAGTGGAATAGCAATTATTTGACAAAGCTCTAATTTGTCAATAGTTTGCGATCTCTTGTACATATTATAAGTAATTAAAAGGGTAAATCCCCAATAATAGACAACATTTTTCATGACACCGATGAATGGCATTAATGATTGTGAGTAAGCATGAACTGAAATAGCTTCATATGCTCTTTTTACATAATGAAGTTCCCACATGATAAATCCAATTGTGAAATAGCAGTTCCATTTTAATTTGTCACCCAGTAATAACACGAAAGCTATAGCAATACTGAATGGACCCAAGTATGCAAGTAAGAATACAGTCTTCCAATCAAGACTTAAGCCAGCATCCTTAACTATAAATGTTGAAACACCAATATCCTTTATTTTTGTATCTTTATTTATCAGTATTTCATCTCCATTTTTGTTATAAACGATTATTGTTCTCTTAGGAGCTATTTTGGTCTGTTTGCTTGCTTCATCAAATAATAAAGCGCCAATCCCATCTTCTGGAATACTTATTACAAAGGACTTGGCTTTGTAAGTGAGCGTACACTTCATTGATTTTTATATCAAAAAATTACAGAAAGTTATACATGAACAATGAATGTTAAATAAAATATCATGTCAATGCTATTTATCATGACGAAAACTAAAATAAAATTGAAAATTAATTTTTTGAAGATCATCTCAATTTCTAGAAATTTGTCAAATTCCAACTTTTTCATAGCAGTGGGTAGAATTCCAAAAATATCGGTAAACGTGAAATATATTTGGAAGGGGATTTAAAATTAATTAAACATATTACTCGCAATTTAGCTAGCCAAGAGCAAGAGAAGGTTTATTTCTTTAGTTATTTCCTGTAATTGCATTTTAAGTATTTAGAAAAGAATGGAATACTACGACACTTATATAACCTTCGTGGAAACGCTTATTACCAATCTATTTCACTGGAAGAATCTGATCATTTAGATGGTCGCGAAATAAACAAGGCTTTTGATTTTGATTATTCTCTCACATCATATTGGATTCCAAAGAATAATCGTGGGTATTTTTCAGTTTGCTTTCCTTGGCATTACATTACAATCGAATCTTTCGAAATCACAACATCAAGCCTTCCATGTCGACCAGTCAAGATAGGAGCAGCTGTTAGTGAAAATGGTAGAGAGTATAAAGAATACCAAGAATATGATTATGCTATGGCAGAATCCGAAGCAAAGCAATTTTTCTTTAATTACAATACAAGTTTTGTTAGATGCTTTAAATTTTATGCTTTGAAATCAGCTTGTGGAGGTGAATCAGGATCAGACGTCAATCAAGTTGAATTTTTTGGAAAATTATTTGAAATAAACCTTCTTAGGTGTCCAGATGCAAAGCTCCTAACTTTCTGTTATTGTAGAAACATTTGGACAATCCATATTTTTCTTATTTTTTCGATTTTATTATAAAAAATTATATTTCCATATCATGAAGCCTATTTGAATAATAGAAAATTCATATAAAATTATTGAAAATGAGAAATCTAGTTCTAGGGTATGCAAAATCAATAATTCATTTTTATTTTAAATTTTTTCACCACCATTTGGTTGACTAAGTGTGATATCATCATCACCACTATTATTAATGATATCTTCACCAACGACAATATTATCATCCATTAAATTCTCATCATCATGAGGAGATTTCGTCTTTTTAATGCATTTAATCATGCACGATATAATAATAACATCCATAATGAAAATATATACAGACAATCTGCGCTGGATGATGGGTTAACATAGTATGTTTTAAAATAATTAAGGTGAAATTAATTTCAATCAAAAACATGGAGTTTTATAATGCATTTTATATAAAAGAAAGTTAATATACAAAGTAAGTATGAAATCTAAACTAAAATTATAAATATGATTATAATTCCTTGGCTAACTTTTCCCATGTACTAAGATTTGAGTTAAACTGGGCAACAACATCTTCGAAACAACCAAAATATTTCTGATCAGCCATCAAAAGCTGAAGAGTACAGTATTTGTAAAATCCTATTTGATCTACTGGCAAAGGCGTTGGATTATTCCTATCCATACCCTTAGATATAGGAAGCCCTAGCCTCCTCTCGTCATCCCCTTGCAAGTACCATTCTTCTGTTAGACGTTTTGCCATTTTTGCTCCATCTTGGAACAGTCTGCAGGTATTTGAGAGGTCTGCCAGCTTCATAATTGCTTGGCATGCAAGAATATGCGATTCAAGAGAGGAATCGAGCTTACCGACGTTTTCGTTTATTTTATCAACGAAATATTTATGCTTACTCATATCGGTTGAGAATATAATCTCTGTAATTAGCTTGAACAGATCATCCTTCTTCGATTCTGAGAGATGATCAAGCGTATAAGTAAGGAATTTTCTGACTAATACTTTGGCTAAGTTCTGGTGATGATTTTCCAGGGGTGGTAAATCTGGACCGGACTCCTTAGCAAAGTCTGAGTTTGTCTTTCTATGGTAATCGTTTGTATGACCATTATGTTCAAGATCATGACAAATAACGGACAAAAGAAGAGCAAATTTATCAAGTGAAGTAAGCATCTTACTGACAGGCTCCATTGAAACAAAGTAGTAAACGAATTGCGTCGCATCTGTTGCATGTCTCCAGTTATGATAAGGTACTGAATTATAATGTTTCTGAGCTTCAGCAATAAAAGCTATTATTTGGTTCCAGTCGATAGGTACATCAGTATCATTAATTGCATAATAGAAAAATGAAAAAATTGACTCAAATGCTGTATCTGTGTTGATATTTTCGACTGAAAACTTATAAGAGCGACATTTCTCGATTTCGGAAACAGGAAGGGTCCTGACATGCTCAAGCACAGTTTGAAAATCGTACTTGCATTGGGAGATTATGTTTTCGATTTCCTTGATTTGGTCATTCGAAAAAGATTTAATCTCTGCTGTTGATATGCAGCTGACAAATGCATTGTCAAGTGGGCTTTGCACCCTGATCGATGTTAAGTAGAGTGGCCCAGAGACATTTCCGAATTTTTCCATTTTCATGCATTTCAACTGATGCAATTCATCGGGTAAGATTTGTGGAATAAGAGGATAAATATTATCTGGAATAAATCCATCGATATCTGTTGAATAAACATAAACGTTTTCATAATCAGGATGAATTTTGAAAACTATTGTACATTCTGCATGGGCAGCTACAGTGAAGGCATGTGTAACACGCTGGACAAGAGCGTCTATCTTTTCGCGATATTTATCCTTAATATGTTGAATCGATATCATATACTAGAGTCAAAATCTCGAGCACAAAAGTGACATTGAATACTTGTAAGTATTGAATTCCCATGTAAACTATTCATTTCTATCGTTTTTTGTAATCCACATTTCCTCACTCTCGATTTTACTCATAAAAATATTAAAAAATCACTATACAATATATAAAATATATATTTATATGGTTAAAACAATGTTATTTTTGCGAGATTTCATCTGAAATTAAAATTAGGGATTTTTTGAATTTTGAACTAAAATTTGTGATCGGCAAATATTGAATAATCGATTGGAATATGAAAGAAATACTTTAAAATTGAATAGAATGTGCCGATAGAATTTTTCTCACAATTTTAAAAAGTTGTTCAAATCCTATTTTTGATTGAGTTTTTGCAATTGTTATATATCAAGTGACAAGCTAAAAATAAAATTTTTGTTGCACTACTATTTTTGCAACAATTTGTAAATTACGTGCATCCCTTGTATTCCAGTGATCAACATCGAGATTACATATTGTAAGAAATCCTTTTGAAGTAGATCTCTATTTGAATTCAAATTCGGACAGTCTATTTCATGTTGCTTCGTGAGAATGTATATAATTTGCAATGTGAATATTATATAATTGATTCTGTATAAATAAGTAATTATGCTTTAGGAAACTGCTCGGCATTGCATGAGATCTAATCTTATAATAATTTTTTAGATATGTTGAAATATGTAATATTTAGCTTCAATATCATTTATTATGGTGTGTCTTTGCTGTTTTTTTGATATTGGATATCAATGACTCTTCTGTGAACGAAAAAATCATATAAATCATTAAATTCTAAACGTAAGCGAAACTCATTCAATTTATTATTAGAATCAAATCTATTTTAAAATTGAGCTATTCGTTAAATCACAAAAGGATACTTTATATTTTTAGTCAAAATTTGTTGATAGGAGCTTATTGGCGCAATCTCATGTTCTTCCTGGAAGCAGCGCACAGACCAGTCAGAAGCGCTCCTTCCAGGACCAGAAAGACTAGAAGGGGGTCCTGACCTTGAGAAAGGACCCCCTTCCAGGTCTTTCTGGGACAATTCGGTTCGCATTGCGAGTGTCTGCTGCTTCTTTTGACCAAAGCAGCAGACACTCGCAATTATATGTTGCGGCAAGTGCATCTGTGGTGTCGGAATGCACTTGCCGCGAACTTCGAGCAATCTCCTGATCTTCCTGGAAGCAGCGCACAGACCAGTCAGAAGCGCTCCTTCCAGGACCAGAAAGACTAGAAGGGGGCCCTGACCTTGAGAAAGGACCCCTTCCAGGTCTTTCTCCAAGGAACATTGTGCCATTGTGGGAGACATGCAGAGGCAATGTCTCCCAGAATGATACATTGCGACCAACACGAGTGAATGGGACACTCTATTCTTTCAATTTTCTCATTAATATTTTATCTTTTTTTATTAGATCAATAAATAAACTCTTTTAATGTTCACAATTACATAAATCCATATGAATCAATTCGCTATTTATTTAGTCTCTAATTTTAATAGCTTTTTTGAATCTTGCAATCTAAATAATTAAGGGTGCACCCGTATGTACGTTTATTTGAGAGGAGGAGGATTACCCTCTCAATTTTGAGGGATTCGTTAGTTTATTTTCTCGATGAATATGCAATAAAATTTGATTTTTACCTTATCAATATACTTCATATAATATACACATGTTCATGTAAAAACTTTTTTCCAAAATCCTCAGGAATTAAGGGATTTTTGAATTTTAAGAATTTTTTTCGAATTTTTTCGAAAAAAAAAATATTTTCAGAACAGCCTTAACGGCTAAGATTTAGGAACAATGTAGTATAGTGATGCGAAAAATTCCCAAACATATGGGGTTTCTCATATCCCGTCCCCTATCGTTTCCCCAATTCAATTTTTTTTGGAATTTTATTTTTTTTCCGCCCATTTGAATTAAAAATGGGCGATTTTCGTTAATGTGATTGAAATATCATAAAATTAATACGTATTTTAGCTAATAATTCTATTTTTATACAATATTCTCTCATTAAATCAACATTTTTTTCTAATTTTAATTTTTAATTTTTAATTTCTTCATAATTTTAGCGATTTATGCTCATTATTAGCAAATAAATAATATATATAATATACTTATTTCATTTTATTCAGATAGGTCTTTGGGATTGGGATACCTTGTCCAAATTCAGAGGAAGTTTGAGAGGTTGGGATGGGGTAGCCCATATTCAATTATCCCAAGTGTACTCCACGAATTTAAAATTATATTATATTATTGATGACATATCTAAATTTATAGATAAAAATTTCAATGCGTACACAATTTTTTTGAGAAAATTCTTTTTTTTTACTTATTTTCATTCATAAAAGCTCACGTGAACTTAATTAACAACTGAGACATTTCCTATGAAATCATTTAATGCCGTCAAAATAGACATGTCTAAGCTGTTTTGAGTGACTTTCGCTCGATGTCTGATGCAATATCAGACATCGAGCGAAAGTCTCTCATATTGGCAACACATCCATACGATCAATACTATAGCTACGAATTACAAGCCTGTTTGGGCAATTTTTGGCCGAGTTCTGATTTTTCATTAGATCTCGAGCGAAAGTCTCTCAAATTGGCTGCCGGTTCATAAGAGTGAAACTCTAGCTACGAATTAGAAGCTTGCTTGAGAGACTCTCGCTCGCGTTGGGATCTGCATCAGAACTCGACGAAAGCCTCTCAAAGTGGTAAGACCTGCTCATTGTTGAGCAGGAGCTGCGTAATGTGTTCGAGTAGAGTGAGGCTCTTCTAAGATCTTCCTTGTGATTGGAAGAAATTAGAAGAGTCTCACTCTACTATTTTGTAATTGTATGCCCTGGCCTTTGAGTGACCAGGGCTGCGTAATGTGTTCGAGTAGAGTGAGGCTCTTCTAAGATCTTCCTTGTGATTGGAAGAAATTAGAAGAGTCTCACTCTACTATTTTGTAATTGTATGCCCTGGCCTTTGAGTGACCAGGGCTGCGTAATGTGTTCGAGTAGAGTGAGGCTCTTCTAAGATCTTCCTTGTGATTGGAAGAAATTAGAAGAGTCTCACTCTACTATTTTGTAATTGTATGCCCTGGCCTTTGAGTGACCAGGGCTGCGTAATGTGTTCGAGTAGAGTGAGGCTCTTCTAAGATCTTCCTTGTGATTGGAAGAAATTAGAAGAGTCTCACTCTACTATTTTGTAATTGTATGCCCTGGCCTTTGAGTGACCAGGGCTGCGTAATGAATTCGAGTAGGATTGTACAATAGCTCGGCAAACGCCGAGCAAATTGATATAAACGTACATCCCACAAAAAATGGATTGTCAAAATTTATCCCAAATTTTACAAAACCGCAGCGGTTATGACATCCCAGGGCTAAAAAAATTCGGAAACTCGCATCTCTAATGTAGTAGGGATGCGTTAAACACGCCATTTGACCGGGCGTACATTTTTTTTGTTCGCCCAAAAATTTCGCCATTTGAGAAATTCAAAAATTAAAAATAAAATCTTAATCTTGATTTTTTTATTTTCGTGATTTTTTTGAAACTTACATAAGCGATGAAATACTTTTTTTTAAAGTAATCGTTTATTATATATAAATATATCTTAATAAATTTAATTCCTTAAGGTAGAGCGTGTTCAAATTTAAAATCTCATACAATATTTTCTTAATGGCGTATTTTTCTGAGGTCGCCCAAATAAAGGCGAATTCAAAATTGAGAACTCCAAGGCGTATGGCGAGTATTCAAAAAGTACGCCACTTACAAAATATTGAATGTGGATTATCAATTTTTTGGCGTGTTCAATTTCAAATTTTGATATTTATGTTTATTTTATTCAGTATAATGCTAAGAATTAAAATATAAAATTCATAGAATTTTTTCTTTGAAAATATTTTACATTTTTATTAGACCACTCCTAGACTAGTCATCAGGTTATCCTCAGATCATCCTCAGACTACTCCTTATCAGATTACTCATCATCCTCAGACTACTCCTTAGACCCCTCCTCATCAGACTACTCCTCAGATCTTCCTCATAAGACTCCTCCTCAGATCTTCCTCCTGAGACTACTCTTCAGACTACTCCTTAGAGTCCTCCTCATCAGACTAGTCCTGAGACTAGTCCTCAGACTACTCCTGAAACTACTCCTCAGATTATCCTCAAACTCCTCAGATTATCCTCAGACTACTCCTCAAACTCCTCCTCAGATTATCCTCAGACTACTCCTCAAACTCCTCAGTCTAATCCTCAGACTCCTCCTCAGATTATCCTCAAACTCCTCCTCAGACTACTCCTCAAACTCCTCAGATTATCCTCAAACTCCTCAGATTATCCTCAAACTCCTCAGATTATCCTCAAACTCCTCCTCAGATTATCCTCAGACTCCTCCTCAAACTCCTCAGATTATCCTCAAACTCCTCAGATTATCCTCAGACTACTCCTCAAACTCCTCAGTCTAATCCTCAGACTCCTCCTCAGATTATCCTCAAACTCCTCCTCAGACTACTCCTCAAACTCCTCAGATTATCCTCAGACTCCTCCTCAGATCATCCTCAAACTCCTCCTCAGATTATCCTCAGACTCCTCCTCAGACTACTCCTCAAACTCCTCAGATTATCCTCAAACTCCTCAAATTATCCTCAGACAACTCCTGAAACTACTCCTCAGATTATCCTCAAACTCCTCAGATTATCCTCAAACTCCTCAGATTATCCTCAGACTACTCCTCAAACTCCTCAGTCTAATCCTCAGACTCCTCCTCAGATTATCCTCAGACTACTCCTCAAACTCCTCAGTCTAATCCTCAGACTCCTCCTCAGATTATCCTCAAACTCCTCCTCAGACTACTCCTCAAACTCCTCAGATTATCCTCAAACTCCTCAAATTATCCTCAGACAACTCCTGAAACTACTCCTCAGATTATCCTCAAACTCCTCAGATTATCCTCAAACTCCTCAGATTATCCTCAGACTACTCCTCAAACTCCTCAGTCTAATCCTCAGACTCCTCCTCAGATTATCCTCAGATTATCACTTTACATATATATATCGATAACTAAATAATTACTTATTATACTTTCTTTATTTTTTTTAATTTTAAAATAATATTAATATATCTTTCTACGTTTAATGATGAAAAGAGAAAGAGGAGTAAAAAGAGGAAAGAGAAAAGAAAGAGAGAGAGAGGAAAAAAAAAGAGAAAGAAAGAAAAAAAAGGACGGCGATAATTTTGTATTGTTTTGTTATTCGGCCCCAAAAACTTTTTTCCAAAATCCTCAGGAATTAAGGGATTTTTGAATTTTAAGAATTTTTTTCGAATTTTTTCGAAAAAAAAAATATTTTCAGAACAGCCTTAGCGGCTAAGATTTAGGAACAATGTTAAGTATCAAAAAGAAAGGAGGTCTGATATAGACAACATATATCGTTGAAGGTTGAAAAAATCTCTAATATTTGAGCCCAAAATTTCAAATTTTAATTTTTTGAAAAAAGAGGCCACCCGTATGTACGTTTATTTGAGAGGAGGAGAATTATATTTTTGAAAGGGTGAAACATTATGAATATGTTAATTATATAATAATATGTATTATTATAAAAAAGAAAAAATAAAGCACGTTAAAATTTTTCTTTCTTGATTTTTTACAAAATCTACTTAGAATTATGCAAAATATGACTAAATAATTATAAATTTCAAGTTCAATTTTAATTTTGATAAATAATTTAAATTTCAAAATATCAAGTTCAGTTCGACTATGTATGTAGTAATTCCTCAATAAAGTGCCAAAACCCTATTAAAATATATGAACATTTTCAACATTTTAATGTTTTTATTTAAAAATTTGATGGAATATGAGCTTCAAACAATTATTATGTAAATAAAAATAATTAAATATATGTATTTATTCGTATTACAACCGTAGTAAGTCGATTCTTCCTTTCTTCTACTGAGGTTTGAATTTGATTTCGAATTGTAAAGAGATTCAAAGGGACAATACTAGCGGATAAAAACTACCTCCATGAAAGGGTCATAATGGAGTCAAGTTGTATTTTGTGATATTTTTTGCTTTTCGAGCCTAAATAGGTAGCCAAGATAATGCCTAAAATAAGGTTCTAAATTCTGAAGTTTACATGATCCTCTCGTGTGCACCCTTAAAGCCAGTTAACATTTTCTCTTCCATTCATTCGCGTTGCAACTGCAGACGCAACTATTGATGGATGCGATACATTTGAAAACTTAGTAGAACAAACAAACTCAAAGAAATATGAAATTCCTGTTAATGGTAAAGTTTGCCTTGAAGGTACATATCTTATAGCCGGTCTTTCTAACTATACTGTCGCAGCAAAATTTTCAACTGATCAAAAATCATATAGAGATGTAATAAATTATGATAATCCTTTCATCATTAATCTTAAGGTTAATTTTGCTCAACTCCAGGCACAAGATCCACTTTATCCATTAACTAAAGTTGAGTGCAAAGACAAAACCCAAACATGCAAAATTCAAATAGTTCCAATAATGCCAAATATGGAGGCTAAAGGTTCTGATACTATTGATGGAATAGCTGCAAATATGAATTACATTTCATCATCAGTATTTTCTACAAAGAATACCTTCACAATGGAACTTCCTGCTAAACTCAAAGTTGACGCCGAACTTCAAGGAGACGATCAACCTCCTAAAAGCATGACTTGTAATGGTAATGTGAAAGCACTTTATATGATGGGAAATTCTTTAAAGAAAGTCACATATACTATTTCTGATGCACAATATTCATTCCCAATTATCGCCGACTCAGCTGCAGCTGGAGCCTCACCTGTAAATGCTAAATCAGTATTCTTCATCAGTACTCCAATGAGCATCGCTAATTATATGGAGAGAAAGATGAATCCCAATGCTAGAAAGTTACAAGAAACGATGACAGTCGAGATTGATTCTACTATAACAGTTACAGTTCAACCAGCAGCAGAATCATCTGCAGACGGAGAAGACCAAGAGAGCTTAATATATGCAGGTCATTTTATTTTTTTTTCTTAATTACATTATATATAATAATAGATTATATGTCCAAATCGAACAAATTGTGAATTTTTACTTTTGAATGGTATTCAAATTTACCCTCTCCTAAGAAAATGCCCCAACAATATTGTTTTTAAAAAATTGATACAATCAAATGTAAAATCGAAGAAAAATCGAATATTTTATTGTATATGATATGATAAGTATATCATATTAAGGGTTTCGTTTTGCTAAAATTGTCACTTTTATAGCATATTTGTTTTTGGATGTTTTGCGAAACCAAAAAAAACTATGATATACAATGTGTGTGTAAAGAAAATACTTTATTTACTAGTTAAAAAATCATTTGGTATTGATCAAGTTATTTTTTCTGGATAAGATATTATATGGATAATTGGATAGAAAATACAATTATATAATCTTGTACCTGGTTTAATTAAGCTAATTGTCATCAGAAACTTGTAATTTTTATGAATTTCAGATTTTCTTTTCATTACTGCTTTTCTTAATAGGTCAAGTTCTTATTTACGTTATAAAGTATGATATTTACAAATATCAAGTTATCATGTTTTTTGAGAAATTATGAGAAACAAACAAAAATGAAAAAGATAGGAATAGCAATGAATAGTGATGTGGGTATAGAAAATGTAAGCGATATGAATGCAAAGCAATCAGTATTTAGGACATTGACCATAGATTTCGAAAAAAAATGCTGCATATTGAGCGAAAACTATGATTATATTATAAGGCTGTCATTTAAAGCATAATGAAACTATTCCCTTTTCATTTTAATCGAATAAGATAGTAAAGATTTTTGAATTAGCTAGAAACTGATGAGATGTTTTCACAAATCAGATTTTTAATCTCTATAATGCATAATTCACTCAATATCTCAATTTTGATATTGCGAGATATTTTTGCTATCGGTTTCGCAATTTTGACACAATAGCAAGAGGGTTCTATAAGCATTATTATCAACGTAGAATCTGAATATCATATCAGAAAATGTCGCAAATCTGACATTTACCCGACCAAATAGCAAAAATAATTGAATACTTTTCGCAAAAACTTTAAAAATCGATAAAAATATGAAATATAGATATTAAAGAGACTTTTTATATAATATTCATAAAGATTTTCCAAAAATATGATACCGCAAAATTAAAAAAGTGACGTCTTGAGTGGAGTCAAAGGTCGAAATTGCTAGCTAAATGTTTTTTTAGCGAAATTGCGTATTGTACGTTTTTTTTCGCAAAACGAAACCCTTAATCATATTTAAATTGAGGTCGAAACAAAAGTTAGCGTCAAACTGCTGTGACCATTCAATATTGGCCTAATTAGATTACAGTTTTGAATAAGTTTGGATAATGCTCGATTCCCCAAATTCCCAATCAAAATTAAATGTTGTTTTGGTTCTTTAGGTATTTTTGTACGTTAGTTTGATTTTTTTTTCCTCAACAATCAAAAAATGAGTGTTGATAATCTAAGAGCAATGAAATCGATTGGAAGGGATCTCACAGGGGAGAGTCCATTTTCTTATAAGGCTTCAAATATTCCTGAAAGAGTTTGCTTGGCAATTCCAACCCCAAAGAATCTTCTCGATACATCTGCTTATGCTGATGCATTCAAAGCTGGAAAACAGTTTAAACGTGCTGATTTTTCATTTTATTTCTTGCCTAGCCCAGCATATCCAGATTTCTGTCAATGGATGGAATTGTTCCTAGAAAATGTTAAGGACCATTTAGCAATTGTTTTATCTGGATATTCTATGGAGCCAATTGATGGCTTGGAGACTGAAGCCCACCCATTTATGATCAAAGGTCGTGAAGTTTTACCTTCAAGATTCTTTTCTCTAATTAAAAAGCACAAAAATCCAGCATCTCGACTTACAATATTGATAAATGGCTGCCCATCTTATGAAACATGGTCGAATGGTGATAAAAAAGATCAAACAAAAACTTTTTCGATTCAATCCGTTTCAAATACAATGCGTGGTGTGTTGAATTTCTCTGGAGAAACTCCAGAAAGAGTTTTACTGATGACTACTTGCCCTAGATTGGACGCTACCAAAATAAACGACAAAGGAAAATTGAATATTAGTACATTCATCCGCAATTTATCAAAGATGTTAAAGAAGGATCCGGTTTTATCTGCTGAAGACATATATAAACCTCTTCAAAAGGAATGCCGCGATAACGGTACAGAATTAATCATTTATTCTTCTTCTGTTGATGTTTCTTCAGCTCCTGTCTTATTGTAAATACGATTTGTTTTCTAAATTTATAAAAAATTTTTGAAATTCTAAAATACAAAACAAATATTTATAAAAAACAAAGTATAAGTATATATTATGATTATTTTGGAGGTAATGAATCCAAAAACAGATTAATTTCTTGAATATTTCGATATCTATCTTCTTCTTTCTTTCTAATTTCCGGAATCTTCTCGATTAAGTCTTTTTGGAATGCCTTCAACTCGGTTCTGATCTCCGTAAGTTCTTCTTCATATTTATTTATCGTTGCTGGAAGATTTCCTTGAAAAGCATTTTCTGTTTCAGTTTGGGGGTATAATTCCAGGCTCTTAAGTTCAAGTTCCAGCCTATCTTCGTATGGCAATTGAAGGTAGTTGTGATATGGAATATTTGGAGCCAATGGATTTGTTTTTTTACGTCTAGGGGTTTTATTGGTATTACTTGGTGGATCACATTGTACAATACACGATAAGAGGCAGTGTATCTTTGATCTTTGGCATTTTTGTGTCTTTTCAACTTGAAATTTTGGAAAATATTCATTCCAAAACGGAGAAATGTCATTCATGTTCATAGGAGTTGGAGGCATCTTTGGATTCACTTTCTGACGTGTACGTTTCGTCTGCCGACCTTTTTGAAATAAAAATTTAAATTTTTCTGTCCAGTGAGGGCCACGAGAAATAGGGGAATGTGTTTTGGTAAGCATATCATCGAACATGATATCCAGTTTATATCCTATATTTTCAGGCAATCTTTTGAAAATTTCATTTTTCTCTGTTTTAATCCAAATATCATCTAAATTTTGAGTCTCAGTCTTGGTGCTCTTAACATGCTGACGATTTCCAACTTCCGTTCGCGAGTTCTGCCTTGAAAATGATAATGTATCTCGTTTTGGTGAAGGTACAGCCAAAGTAGTCTTTGAATTCGTCTTTTCTACTATGGGATGATGTGCTGATAAACTAATTGGCTGACTAGCTGTTGCCGAAGGTTGCTCGTTAGTTATAGCTTGTTGAGATAGAACTCTCTCAATCTCCTCCATGCGAAGCTCATAAAAAGATTTGTATTCTATTTTCTTTTCGACAATCAGATGTCCAAGTTTAATCAAATAATTTTGAATTTTGTTCAATGCTTCAAGAGGAAGATCTGTCAGAGAAGATATGTTTCGATTTCCTTCAAGTGCATTTTGGATAGCGTTAACAATCTCCATTTCTGTGGAGACTGTGAACTTTTCCATGGTATTGTAAAAATCTGTATTTTTTCCATTTCCACTTACGGGTGTAGTTGAAAGATTTTATAGAAAATTATATTAGCATTCATACAAAAACACATACAGTTCAAATTGTAAGAGAAAGTCAGAAAAATAATTTTTCAACTCAGTTCATTGTTTGAAGGAATACATGAGAATGATGCAGCATATCTCGAATGTTTCGCCATTTCACTGATACAGATGATCCGTACACAATATTTTTAGAGGAATATAGAATGAATATGCTTGAAATTAACAAATTTGATTCTACATCACAATATTTTCGCATTATCTTATAGGGCTTTGCTTGAACCTCTTTAATTCTTTGATTTCTTTTCAAAATTAAAATTGTAATTGATGATAGAATTAATGATATTAACGTATGGATGTGAAAAAATCAAAATTAATCGAAAATATCTATATTTAAACAAACAAATTCGTAATACACTCTATAATAAATGGAGTAACGTCTAAATTATGACATTTATACTCTTCAAGAACATTCGAAAGTAGCGACAGATCAGCGAAAACTTTATCTTTTCTTGAATTTTCTCTTGGATTGAAGAATTCACAAATATTCAAGAAATTAATGCAGACATCTTCAGTTTTCTTCAGTTTTTCGAATTGGGTGCCTTCTATAACTGGAAAAGCGTATAATGCACCATTTGATGTTCCTCCGACCACAACTTTTTGTCCAAATTTCAACATTGGGACAATTTTGTCTGGCATCGAATCCCAGAGCAATAAATCATTGAAGATCATTCCGAAAAAGAAACTATCAATTTCTTGCATCGAATCTCCAACGATTTTTAATAATCTAAGATATCCATCTCCATCACACATCAAAATGTCATCATCTGTGACAAAACAGGCTGACATTGCTATCTTATACCTTCTGTCTCTACATTTGAGCTTCAATTCTTCGCCAATTATGTCAAAAATTATAATTGATTTGCAAATATCGAAAACCATGAGTTTTCCGTGGTCAATTCGAAGTCTCATGGCACTTACTTCGCATGGGTATTCTGCAATCTTGTTCAAAAACCCTGTTTCATCAATTTTGTACACGTAAATAAAACCTCCAACGCTTACATAGGCCAAATCACCATTTAGAGCTATTTCTGTTGCAGCGTGAGGTACTTCTATCCTATGTACGGCCTCAATTTTTGTGTCTCCTGTTCTCAAAGTGTAAATTAAACCTTTTTCGTTGAATAAAAGGTCATCTGAGATGATCTGACCACTTGCGAAGTGATATTTCCCATTTGTGACCAAAGATGATATGATTTCTTTGGAAGGAAACTCGAAATTTCGGTCAATTGTTGTTTCATAAACTCGAGATTCGGAAATAACACATGTATTATCATCATCCAATACAAGATACGTATTTCCATCAACAGGGGCAACAGTAACGGCCGTTCCTGGAACGTTTATCAGCTCAATATGATACAATTCGTACTGATCATTGAATTCTAGGAGATCTAAGACGTTTCCATCAGATACCAACAAACAATCTTTATAAAACGTTGCTGCAACAAGTGTAGATTCGATCAATTTTACAAATCTTATGTTATTTCCTTCAACAAAGATGATATTTGTTCTGTCTGATGTCGCGAGTAAACAATTCTCATCTCTTTTGATGAGAAAAACAGCAGAAATGGTGATTCCAACTTCTTTGACGATATTAAAATCAAAATCATAAACAAAAACTCTTCCTGAGTGAGTTCCGCAGAACAAAAACTGGCCACATACCTGTAATGATACATACGGACGCGGTAAATCGAGTTTTGACAGGATATTTCCTGAATAATCCATTTTTATCAAATTATTTTTCCAAGTTGAAACGAAAATGAAGTCAGAAAATGCAATGGATGATATCTCTGTATCTATATCTTTCTGAAGAACAACAGAAAACCTTGAATTAATCCGGAAAATGTCAAAATGATTCGTATAATACAAAACAACCATATCTTTGTATTTATTGCCAAATACATATTGAGATTTGAGGATATTGATCCTTGTTTTTTCGAAATTTCTGATTAATCCGTCAATTTTTTCAAAATTTTGAGTATTTTCTTCTGAAACACGGTTATTAACGATCAATGTATAATCATTTGTAACTTGTATGTATCCATTGACCAATTCTGCTGCATATAACGTTGGAAAATTTAATATCGGAATATTTTCACCGAAAATTTTTGTTTCTGTGCATGAAGAACACAAAGCGGTATCTCCAACCCCGAATATAATGTTTATATCGGGTTCTTCGATGAAAGATTTTGCAATTGGCCTCATTGAAACTCCCAAGAGCGCAACAACGCCAAAAATGATTCCTCCTGCTGCAATAATCCTTGGTGGATAATCCCTGGTCTCGGGGAGCTTCGCGAGAGTCTCTATCATTGGAGAAGAATACATATTATAAATTGTTGAATCTTTTAAGAAAATTGATGGGCCATTGAGCGAGCTAATGAATATAACACCTTCATCAAGGTAAATTGTGTTGTTTGCTTGTGATCCCAGCTGAATATATTTAAATTCTCCGTTGAAAAACTCATAAATATCTCCTAAAATGAAGAAAATGTAAAGAGACTTTTTCGGAGTTTCTAAGACCGATACAACTTTGCTGTCAATTGGAAGATTATATGAAAATTTTACATTTCCATTTTGATCAAGTCTATAAAATGATTTTGGAGTAAAAATATCGATGTATTGAGAATCACAATAAACAAAATCAATGACTTCTTCCATTCTGAAAATAGAATAAACAAAATTTTCTTCAATATCTTCTTCTGCGTTTGAAAAATAGTAATCAATGTCAACCATGTGTAAATCTGATGTTGATAAAGAGTTTAAGTATAGTATATTATCTCGATATGATATAGTTGAAGGTGATAATTGTGAATCTATAATTCTTTCATAAGCTACAAAGGATTCGTCATTAAGAATGATGTAAAAAGTTGTTGGAAAATAGAAAATAACAAAATAGTCTTGTAATCCTAATAATATTGGGGCACTTCCGTCTAATATTGGATTATGAGGGTAAATCTTTTCAGCAATTGCTGTTCTGAACTTTGGAAAAAAGCTGCATATGACTACTTGGCTATTAGTTGTATATAGAGCGATTCTTTCGTAATCTTCTTTTCCTTCTTGTAAAGAATTAGGAAAATTAGATGCTGCAATTATTGTATATTGCAAAGGTATTTCATGCACTACATCTGCTTTGATGTCTTTTTCGTTGAATATGGAAAACACAATTGAAGTTGGGTAAACAAAGCATAAATGCTTAACTCGATTAGATAAATAGTATCCATATGAAGCAAATATTGCTGATGATCCCTTTTGAAGGCAATAAATACCAAGGCCGTAACTTGGATTAGCAGACAAAATAAATTTATAATAAATATATCATTTAAGTCTTATAATTATTCATACTACATTTAGATAATTCAATGTGCAATGTTACGTTGGGGAAAAATTGAAATGAATAGAGATTATATATCACAGGTTCATAAGCTTACCAATATCAATCAAAATAGCATCATAATATGGACTAATAGGCATAGTGGTCACAACTTAAACATGATTCGTATTAGTAATAAATTATACAATTACCAGAAAGAATACTTTCATTCATGATTCTGATGTAACTGATGAGTATAATGCAAATGCAAATGAATGAATCTTTTCATATTTGTTTTATATGTTACCGAGGTTAAATTCTGAAGGATTTCAATTTTTATTGAATTTTTGACATAACTCTTTGAAAAATTGTTAAACTAATATTCACCTTGAAAAAACTATAAGAATGTGTATAATTATATTTTAAAAAGATATTATTTAAAATTTTACCCATACTATTTTGAAGAAACATTCTAAGGAATTTTTTCAATGCATTCAAGTTCATTTTTCTAGAACATGGTTAACCTCTGTGTTCACGAGCTCATATACGGTCTTATAATTATGACTGGCTCAATGAACTTTGGATATTCCACTGGTATCGCATCTCCATTGGTCCCTTTCTTTAAAGATGAATGGGGAATATCAAAAATGAATACAACTTGGTTTAATGCAATTCTTGCTCTATTTGCTGTAATTGGTCCATTCATCACTACATGGATGCTTACATTTCTTCCAAGAAGACTTGTATTTTGCATCCTTCAATGCACATCTTCAGTAATACTTTTAATTATGCTTGCATCATCAAAGAAAGCATTTGCTCTCATGATTGTAATGCGTGCACTTCTAGGTCTAGTAATCGGTGGTGTTACATCAATTGCACCAACTATGCTCGTTGAAGCTGCCCCATCAGGTCTCACAGGATTCTTTGGTAACTTAAATCAGATTGGTTGCGTTGTTGGAATCATTATTATGTATCTCCAAGGAAATTGGACAGTAAATACATCAAAGAATGCAACAAAATGGTGGTCTCTAGAAGTTACCTGCGCTGTAATTAACTTTGTTGGTGCAGCCCTTATTTGGAATACAAAATTAAAATCAATTTAAGTTTTTGTTATAAATACTACAATCTCCCTGCATTCTTTGTTTATTTTGATATATCACAAGACTACAATGAAATGTTCCTCTCATCAAAATATTTTAATCTCTCTTCAATTTGGGAGTATTTACTTGCTAATGGTGTTAATATCAACCATAAATATGAAAATGATGAAAGTGCCCTTCATATTGCTTCAAAAGAAAATCTTTTGGAATATGCTAAATTCCTAATCTCACATGGAATTAATGTAAAATCGAAAGATGTATATGACAATACAGCTCTTCATTTAGCAGTTCAGAATGATTTATTTGAAATGGCAAAGATTATACTCTCTGACAGTTCAATTGTCAATATGAAGAATGGAGATACAAATACTGCTGCACATCAAGCAGTAATAAACAATAATTTGCCAATGTTAAAACTACTTATTGAACATGGTGCAGATCTTAATGACCATAATAAATATTTTGGTTATACAGTTCTTCATCTTGCTGTAATTCACAAACATAAAGAAATCTTTGAATATTTGTTAACTCTTGCGCCAAGCTTCAAAAACAATTCGGCTGAAAACGAATGCAAAGAAGAAATAAATAATGAAACTCCAAAAAGAGTTGATGTTAATGCTCGAAATATTGATGGAAAAACTGCCCTTCATTATGCCACAGAGAAGAATAAATTTAAATATGCGAAAAATCTCATTTCTCATGGTATTGACATTAATTTAGCTGATTATAAGGGAAAAACAGCTCTTCATACTGCTGCTTTAAAAAATAGCATTGAGACCGCAAAAGTTCTTATCTCAAATGGCATTGATATTAATGCAGCTGATAAAGATGGAAATACAGCTCTTCATATGGCAGCATCATTGAATCGTATTGAAATAATAAAAATACTATGTTCTAATGGAGCAAATGTTAATTCAAAAAATAAAGATAGAAATAACCCATTACAATACGCTGTATCAACCATCAATGAAGAAACAGTAAAACTTCTTATATCTTATGGTTTAAATTGGAAGGAACCGTTTAAAGATGGATCAACGCTCTTGCTCAAAACACTGCAAACAGATAACGAAAATTTAATAACATTTCTTTTTCCACGATATGATTTTTATTCAGTTTGTAATAATGGCAAAACTTACATTCAGTATGCTAAACGAAACAAAAAATACAAGGCATCACAATTTGCTCTATTTCTGCATAATTTCGTACTAGTAATATTTTTGATTTTTATGTTTATTTGGCTTATTGAGTACCTTATCATTTTATTCTATTTAGAATAGTGATCTATTGGTACCCAAAACACCCGCATGTTCCTTCAAATTAAATAAATTTCAAATTTTATTTTGCATAAGAGTTTTTCAGATAATATAAATAAACAAATTTATAAAACTATCTATATTTTTAATGTCATCCCATATATGATTATAAAAATTCCATTATGAATTTAAAATATATTCATTTCTCTTCAAAATAAAGGAGAATGAATGTTAATGTATTTTTCTTCATTGTACAAAACAATGGGCATGCATTTACTGAATTAGTTTAATTTAATTAAAAGTAAAGACTATCCCATTACTGTCTAATGATCTAAATATCTATTGTGAGATCAATGCTATATTTCCTTGGTCATCATTTGATTTTGCAATGATAAAAATTTTGTCAAATTTTATTTCAGGAGAATTCAATTTTATTTATGAACTTACAGTTGGATAATTCGATTTCTATGCCTTAAATTATTGCACTTTAAATTTGCGATCAAATGTGTGAATTCATTCCTGTGAATTCAGACCTGTGAATTCACCGAGTAGGTGCCAAAAGTGCTTACTCTTAAACAACCGTCGGATTTCCGGGTGAAATCGTGACACACTTTCGTCTTTCGTAGGCGGTGGTGGTTGTTACAAAAGGTAACTTCGAATGTAGCGTGAAATCTGCAAAAAAAATTCTGAAATTTGAATGGATAACACAAAAATTGAATAGTTTACGTCAATAAAAAAGAGAAAAATGAAGCCAATGTGTCTCGAACCTAGGACTTAGAGCAGCAATCCCACTGTTTATCCCATTACATATTACACTACATGCATCTCTCACCTCAGTGAATGAGATCAACTATATGATAACTTTTTCCCCATTATATTCTTGTGGAAAAGTGACAAATAGCAACTTTGACCCTCTCTCTGAATTCACCCCCATTGAAATTTCGATAGAAAAAATTTTTTGAATGACGAGTACATTTTTCGAAAATGGAGATCCCACAACTCGGTTTCGGTACATATCTCGCCAATGATCCAGCAAAACTCAAAGCTGCACTTCATTATGCTATTGAAGAATGCGGTGTCAGACACATTGACACAGCTTTTGCTTATTTTAATCAAAATGTTATTGGTGAAGTACTCAAAGAAATCTTCGCAAAAGGAAAGATAAAGCGTGAAGACATGTTCATCACAACAAAGTTATGGTGCACACATTGGAGAAAAGACCTTGTTGAAGCAGAATTACGTTATGATTTAAGTCAATTGCAGCTTGACTATGTTGATCTCTACATCATTCACCAGCCAATTTCATTACAATCACGTGATGTAAAGGATACAACAATTATTCCAACTGATGCAAATGGAAAGATCATAATCGAGCAAATCGATGTTCTTGATACATACCATGCAATGGAAGAATGTGTTAAGAAGGGATTAACAAGACATATTGGTGTTTCAAACTTCTCAATCGAGATGCTTGAAAGAATTTGGTTCAATTCCGAGATCAAACCTTGTTAAGTCTGTTGCAGAAGAAGTTAAAAAGACAACTGCCCAAATTTGCCTCAAGTTCTTACAGCAGAAGTCTAAGAAGTATATTCTCATCCCAATGTCCATGAATCCAAAGAACATCAAATCTAACTATGAACTTGATTTCACATTAACTGAAGCTCAGATGAAGAAGCTTGAGGAATTAGATAGATTCTATTCATTCTTTGATTATTCCCAATGGTTCCAGGTTGATGTTCATAATATCGGTACCAATAAGTGGTATCAATAAAAGTATCCGTTTAATTCAATTAAATTTATAACTTTTTTTATAAAACACAATATATCTTTATTTTAATAGCAGAATAGTATAGCAGTTATATTAAGTACTATATAGTGATTTATATTTACTTTCTTCTGACCAAAAATATTAACTCTTGACCATAGAATATTGGGATAAAAAGCTAGAGTGTCAAAAAAATTGAGAGAATGTCAGAAAATAGTATGTGCACCCTTAAGTTAAAATGAATTTATTATTATGAACTTACAATTTCAAATTGTGATCTCAACTTTTTTGAAGGGAAATATAATTTGAAATAGCCTACAAATGATTAATTTGATGTCTGTTTTCGTCAACCAACCGATTATTTAGCTTAATAATAGGTTGAGTCTGTGTCAAAGTACTTTGATGCCATTTTGTATTAAAGAAAATGGTTGCAGACAACACCCTTCTAATCTGCAAACAATTTTTTTTAAAAAAAAAGAAAAATAACTATTTTTTTCTAAAAGTAATAAGATAACTAACATGGTTTTATAAAATAATATATCAATCTATATATAAAAAAATTATAATAACTAATCAGTCAAACATTTCTCAATGTCATCAAAGCTGATATAGCTTCCTTTGACATTGTTTTGATTGAATTCAGTAACTTTTGCTTCATTTGATTGAAGAGTTTGGTTCAAAAACATTACAGAGTAATCTGGAATTGCGAAGGCAGAACTAACTTGAGCCTTGTGTCCTTCGAAGTATATAGATATATAAGGTTCATCACTCAAAGCAATTTCAGCATCAAAAACTTTAGAAGCAACAACGAAACTTTTGAAAATTTTTTCCTTGGAAGTTTTTGTTCCGTTTATTATATCTCTAATAAACAGAAGCGTTGTATTTGGATCATATCCGCTTCCAATGAAATAGAAGCAGCTTCCCTGGCACCTCAACAAATGGAATGTCATGTAACACTGCATCAAAGACTGAACAGTCAAAAAGAACTTGTCAGTGGAATTGTTGTATTCTGTCATATAAAATCTGCCAATAATAATCGTCATGTCATCACTATGATGCTTAAACAATCCGTCGTCGCAAATCATCTTTGCAATGTTAGGTGTAACGTATTTCGATAAGCAAGTGATGAAATTCTGTTTGGTGTTTGTTTGGTTGGTTAATTCAAAAAGTGCCACTCTTGAAATTCTGTCAAATTTGTATTTAGAAGTGACAAATTTTCTAAATCTTTTGGCAGTGACTTGGTAATTTCTGATGTCACTTTTTGTATCGTCTGGTGTAAAAATTTCGTCAAATCTTTTACCAATGAAATCGAGACTTTCGACACCCAAAATTTCCTTAACATTTTGAGTTATATCGATAATATTTTTAGAGTTATTATCAACGGTTGCAACGATTACGTTATTTGGCAATTTGTTTTCTGGTTGTTTGTCTTTTGGTTTGTTCAAATCATCCAAATAACCAATAGGAATATTAAACAAACTGTCCAAACCATGGTTGACATTCAACTCTAAGTAAAGAGCAATTAACAATCCGCAAATGAAAACAAATCCATCAATTAAAATTGCGACATTTGTTCCAATGAAATTCGTCGAAATCATTTTATCTATTTCTTCTTCAACTTTCTGGAAATGCCGAGTATATATGGAAATATTTCCTGAGAAAGGAGAAACATTGGAATTATTCTTGTAACTCTCATATAAATAAATAGAATGAACATGTAACTGTGTCACGTTTTCTTTGATTCTATTCAAAAGAATTTTATTGTTTTCGTTTTGGAAAAGGTAGAAAACGTTTGATTTCATGTTCAAAAAGATCGCAACCATGAATGGAGTGAAATATATGAAAATTAAACTGATGTAAAATAACCTTTGGTTGTAAATGGTTTCACTTATCGTTTTTGACACGATGTCAATTTTTTCGATGTTTTCGGCAACAATGAAATCATCATCTTTTGCGGAGTTGTCAGTCATCGAACACTCTGAGAAGTCATCTGAGAATTCTGACTCAGAATTGTTCGCTGTTGAATTTGAAGAGTTTACAAAAGGTGACATCAAAGCGAAATTTGACGTTTTCAGAAGATTTTCAGCTCCTATGAAAGAAATTGAAAATTTTGCATCTTTCAAGTTGATGTGATGTGAACTTTCTGTCAACATTTGCGTGTAATTCACATCTGCTTCACTTGAATATCTTCCTAATTTCATTCTCTTCAAATTCGGATTAATTGGCACTTTTGTGGCACTTTTTGTATTTGTCACTTTTTGTCCGTTAGTATTTTCTGAGGGGAACAAAATTCTGAATAAATCCCATGACTCGAGAGATTTCTTCAATAATAAAAGTGACAATCTTTCTTTTGAACCCAAAAATTCTGTTGCAGAAGGTGGAATTCTTCTAAGGAGAGTTCTGATTCTTATGTAAATGAAAACTAAGGAAAGTAATGTTCCAAACAATGATAGTTTGTATAGCAAATTGGCCATTCCTTTGTATGTCTCATCAAATCTCGTAGAATTGATAATTTTAGATGTCAAATTCGTGTAATTCTCCAAATTATGTTTAATTTCGACCTTTGACTTCTTGATCAGCTTCTCCATCCCGTCCAATGTTTCGCATTTGTCATTGGATGATGATGCAAGGAATTCTGATGAATATCCGAGAACTTTGGCTTGGAATGTTAAATCTTCCCTCGCAGTGATGGAATAATCAAGAATCTCATCGTGGATGTTCAATATCTTGTAGATACAGATAAGTTGGCGCTTCTCTTCGTCTGTAAAATTCTCATTTTGCAAATTTGGCAAATCTTGTATGTTTCTAACGCCAGGACGGAGGATTGGAGCGTAAGACTCGTTATAACCATTCTTTGTAACAGGATTTTGATAATTTTTGTCATTATTAAAATCAATATTTTCATTTTCAGAAATTTTTTCAATATCGTGGTTAATTTCCGATTCCTTTTGATCATATGGTGCTTCTTCGACTACTTTTTTGAACGTCATCTTTGGTATTTTTCCTAAATAATTAGTTTCACCTACAATGTTGTTTGGAGTGTAGAATTTGTTCGTGGGATGTTTATTTTGCATGTTGTTGTAGGTATTGGCCGGACTTGCTTCGAATTTTGTGTAAATTTGGTGTATAACTATTCCAGCAGTGAGTTTATAAGCTGCTTGAAGTGAATACTGCAACAAATCCCTAACCTCAACAACAGTCTCCACGTTATTATTCATTACGTTTGCAAATTTCATAATATAAACTATTGCCCACGTAGATATGATGATAAAGCTTAGAATTGTGCCATAAGGTTTGATGTTAGAGCATTTTCTCACACCCATAGCGATCGGGGAGTTGTTTGAGTCTTCATTTCTGTAAATTACGTTTTCGTCAAAGTGGAATCTAATTTTAGAGTTAGATTCAGAGATTTTATTTGACGAAGAACCACTTGTTGTTTCAGATCTTTCTCTCTCAATTATCTCATTTGATAATGGATAATAAATTGAAGTTTTCTTGAAGACAGGGTCACCGCAAGCATCTGGATTATCTCTAATCATGTTCGAATACTTCCTAAACAGCACAGATTTCTGTGGATCACCCAAAGCAACAAGAGAAATCTCAGCATAAGCTAATTGTATGTTTGGATCCCTTTGATATATATAAACAAGGTACTGGCTATAATTAACAAGCTCTATATATGCAAATGACGCTTTCAAACCATACACAAAACTGTCAAAAAAGTGTTTTTCATGTCTTTTTTGCCAAAAAAGTGACAAATTAATTAAATAATTTCTGTGTAAATCATCCAGATGGGAAGACATGACTGGGGAAGCTTTGTCACCTGATCTAAGGATTCTACTGAAGACGTAGAACTGGTAATCGTAATAAGGGCTGTCTCCATTCCACTTAGAAATGATTAATTGTATTTTTGAACGATGTGCTTTGAAAATTCCCAAAAATCTGATTACTTCTATCATTTCCTCTGGATCTAATTTGCTTCTTAGCATCAGATAGTTCTCGAAACATTCTACATCTGCTTCTGTTTCGGCTGCGTACCTCATAACAGTTGCATTTGTTAGAGGAATCCAAAAAGGAGGTTCAATTTTTTCATTCATGATGGATGATGAGTATTTCTTCATGAAAATGTTGTGGAAATAGTAGATAACGGTATAAACAAGGATAAGAAAGATCATGAGGAAGGTTGGACGTATGTATTTGTTCGGATGCAAATTGAAAAATATTATGAAAGGAGAAGCAAAGATTGGAGAGTCTTTGAGTATAGCAGCGAAGATACTGACATGAACTCCATGTGACAATCGCATTTCGATAACGAAAATGATGTAAATTGGGAAGAAGAAAAATATAATGAATTCTAGAATGAAATGATCAAAGTCGTATAGAAGTAATTGACATGCTACAACTGAGAAACGTGCCCAGAACATGAAATGGTCGGTCGAACAAGAGTTTGAATCGAGCATCGTTTCCATGATGAAGATTTTGGGCCGGAAAAATGTGGCTGATATGTACTCGAAAAACTCAGTGAGAAAAAGGTTCAAAATGATAAGAATAAACGAAATAATATTCAAAATGTTAAACGAGTTGATAAGCATGCACAGTTGCTGGTTTACTCTGAAGAAAACGTGTATCTGCACAACTGACGAGATGATATCTAAAAGAATACGAATGAAATAAAGTTGTGTTTTGAAAAGGTATTTCCCGGATTTGCATTTGTTCGCAGTGGACCAAAGAATCCATGTGGCTAAGATATTTGTAATAATGAATGACATGGTTGACTCGATGGTCGAATCTTGATAATAAATACCAGGATTGAGCAATCCTACATTGTTAAGTACATTGATAAATGTTGGAGGTCGTGTATTAAGCTGATCTACATGCGTAATATCTAAGATAAAGAAAAAGTATTGACAAAATCGAAAGATATCGCGTAACCAATATACCCACGTAGAAATAACTGCTCTGTACCTGATTTCGAATGCCAAGCTGTAGAAATTTCTCATAAAATCCTTTAGCATGATATTCGAAAGCTAGTAATCTTAGAAAAAAAGTTAAAGAAGTATTCAATTTAATTAAAGGTATTTTAACTGATAAATATTATTAATTAGCATATGATTATTAATAATAAATTGAAACAAGTAAAAAGATTTTAATAACGATCGATTATTTCACATTCAATTCATTAAGGGAGGCTTCCGACCAGAAAGCCCTTTCAATTTTTTGTGATGTTTACACCAAAAGTGAGATTCGTTAAGCGTTTTTCTCGTTGAATATTGAGTTTCCCGGATTTTAAGTTATTCATAAAGCTTCTCTATATTATACCCTATCTACTGATATGGTTATTTTTGAAAAATCTCTTAAATCGACCTGCACTGAATTTTTTAGGGAAAATTCGAAATTTTATAGGCGTTTTCTGTAACGTTTTTTTACGGAATAAAATCCGAAAAATAATTTTTTGAAGAATCATTTAGGTCAGGTAAGTGGGGCCTCCAGGCACTTCGTGCCCTCTAGCCCCTAAGATGTTTAGTATAACTTTGTCCGGACAAGTAAGGGTCTATCGTCGCTACAGGAAAAGTTACAGGCGTTCCAAGGAAGTATACTTTGAGAAGCCTTCTTCTGGGTCGAAAACATTATATAATGTGTCGCTTTTCACAAATTATATATGTTTTCATGTTTTGTCACTTTTCTGTCACTTTTCAGGAAAAACATTTTTATTATTATATATAAATGAATTTTACAAAACCACCGTTACCCTTCTTTGGAAATAAGAGTAGATGTAAAGATATTCTATTGAGAGAACTTAAGAAACTACCGAATGGTCTAACATTTGTAGATTTGTTCGGTGGAAGTTTCTATATATCCCATTTGTGCCATACAATATTCCCAGACTCAAAGATTATATGCAATGACTTCGACAACTATATGGACCGTCTCAAACATATACCAGACACAAACAATATATTGAAAGAGTTAAAAGAAAAGATACCTATAGGTAAGATGGAACGTATACCATTAGATAACAAAAATATTGTGAGAGAGGTTTTGAAAAAAGCAGAATATATAGACTGGGATAGTATATCTGCTAGACTATTATATAGTGGTTCTATAAGAGTTCATGACATTGAAACACTTATGTCAAACGTTTTATATCTTAACTATACAAATGTTTTCAAAGAGGACATAGAAAAATATATTGAGGGTATAGAGTTTGTGAGATGTCGTTGGACAGAGTTGTATGAAAAATATAAAGACAAGGAAAATGTTTTCTTTATAGTGGACCCGCCGTTCTATAACACATGCGATTTTCAATACCAAGTAGACTGGACTTTGAGAGACTCTTTAGAAACTTTAGACGTTTTACATAACCATCCATGCTTTTACTTTACATCCGATAAAAGTGGTTTGGAAACCGTTATGAGATGGTTAGAGGACATACATGACTATGAGTTTAGATATGACAAGATAGAATATGAGAGAGGTCCTATAAACCGGAGAAAGTGTCATAACAAAGAAATTTTACTAGTAAGTAAATGTGGTTTGAAATAGGACTACTTGTTTTAGGTTTTTTCCATTGTGTCATTTATTTATTTGACGTGGCAGAAAAGTACAGAGAATATGAAGATGAACCAATGCCTGCAAATGTTCAGTATATGTACTCGTAAGAGATATTTTTATCTAATATTAAATGGACGCACAGAACTTAGCGAATGCACAGCAACCTGGACAACCAAACCCAGAGAATATTCCAAATGAAGTTAGAATACAAAACTGCAATGGCAAACTATGGTCAAGTGCCAACAGATGTACAAATGCAAACTGCCATGTCAAATGACGCTGCGTTAGGTTTGCCACCATGGTATGCAAATATGAGATGGAAAGAGTTTTATACAAACCCTGAAGTGGGATATAAACAACTTTATGCAGATGACGCGAACACAGGAGTTGACCCAGAATATGTTTTCTACCAGAGGAGAAACAGAATGTATGAGCTCCAGTTAAAGAATGCTATGGAACTCAACAGGAAACGTAAGAGACTAGGCGGACATTAGATTTTTACATATAGTAAAATGGGTTTCTTCAGTAAGATAGGAAACTTCTTCAGAAGAGTTGGAAGAGGTATATGGAATGGAATAAAATCTGTCGGAAGAGGAATTTGGAACGGAGTCAAAAATATTGGTAAAAGAGTAGGTCAGTTCGTTGGTATTATACCTAAAGACCCTGAACCAGAAGAACAAGCTCCTGTTATACAACAGCCTGAACCTGCACCACAGTCTAGTTGGCAACCAAATCCAACACCTCAACCGTATTAAAAAATTATATTTTTACCGTTCGATAGTAGTTGTATATGAAACTAAGTTCTAAGTAAAACGCATGGTATAATGGAACTATTCTCTTTCTTCCATCTGTTGTAAACCATACTTGAAAGTCTGAAATACTTCCACTTGGTGGTTCATATAGCTTTGTAGGTTTTTCGTAAAAGTCATTTGCCAAGCATAAAAAAGAGTTTTGTGCACCAGAAAATGAAGCATGAACTATAATAGCATCTGAGTCGAAAACATTTTCATATGTTCCATTAGGGTTTTCGACTTCATAAAAGTCCGGGTGTACTGGATATTCTGCAGGCTGATTTAACATCCTCATAAATCTATACCATGCCAAGTTGTTATATTTTGTAGAAATATAAACGTTTTCTCCAAGGTCTTCTATTCTATTTGATTTTAACAGTTGCATTTTTCCTGTCATATATAATTATCGAGATGGTACTCTCCTTCGTCAATGTTATACTGGTTTGCATATTCGATATAGATGTCGTTTATTTTTTCTTGAAAAGCTTGAAGATTGTTTCTAAGTTTACAAGCAAATTCACTTGTAAAAGTTTTCCCTGTTCAAATTTCTCATACATACGTTTTTCTTTGTTATAGTATCGAACTTCAAAACCGACTGTAAATGGGAAACCATGTATGGCTTCTGAAATGAACTTCATTCTACGAAAGCCAATAGCTTTTGTGACAGATGGGTCTCTTAACCATCTTAACGGGTAGTCAAAACGATAGCCTTCATGCTTTACGGTCTCTGTCTCAAACTTTTGACCGACATTCGTAAAAAGTTCATCTAATGGTTTAGTTGTAGCAACTCTTGAATTTTCTTTTTCTATTGAAAGCATATTTTATCTAGAATAAAAATGTCAAATGAAACAGCGTCTATGAGAGAAATACAACACAACCGACAACTCATTATACAAGCTCTAAATAAGAACACAACAAACTTTTCAAACTATTCTAAGATATCTGAGTCATTGAAAGAAGGAAACTTAAAACTGACATTAAACCCAATGACAGATGAGTTTCTGTTTCAAGACAATAAGAACCATACTGTTTGTATAAATCCAACAAAAGGAACTTTAAACGAGAAACCTATAAAAGAACTTCTTTTGAAAGCAGATGTTGACAACAAAGCAGACAAAACATATGTAGACGATGCAATAGCAAAAGAAGAAGAAAGAGCTGACAAAGCTTATGCAACAAAAGAACATACTCATCCTGAACTAGCAGACAAAACATATGTTGACAATAAAATGTCAAGTGAAGTGACAAGAGCTGAAAACGAATATTCTAAAAAGACTCATATACATTCTATATCTGAAATAACAGACTTACAAGAAACCTTAAACAGTAAAAGTGCCGTTGGACATACACATTCTATATCTGAAATAACAGACTTAAACGTTAGCCTTGAAAAGAAAGCAGATAAAACATATGTTAACGATGAGTTAGCATGTGTGGCTAGTAAGTTAGAGAAGAAAGCAGATAAGGAATATGTGGATGAAAAAGATAACGAAATGAAAGAAAGGGTTGACTGGTACCATGAATGGACATCGAAGATTTTAAAAAGTAAAGCCGATACAGGATGGGTTTCAGGATGTTTAGACCTTAAAGCGGATAAAACATATGTTAACGATGAGTTAGAGAAGAAAGCAGACAAGAACCATACACATACCATTGCAAATATAACAAACTTACAAGAAACCTTAAACAGGAAAAGTGACGTTGGACATACACATACCATTGCAAATATTACAAACTTACAAGAAACCTTAAACAGGAAAAGTGACGTTGGACATACACATACCATTGCAAATATAACAAACTTACAAGAAACATTAGAGACAAAAGCAGATAAAACATATGTCAATGAAATATACCAAAGTTTAGTTGGAACAAAAAATATTGAAACTATTGTTGGTGACTTTTCTGTCAATGAAGAAAACAAATATTTTAGATGGCAGTTTGTACATTCCTTAAAAAATGGTATACGGTATAAACTCATTCCGAAAAATAACAATGAAATGTATGTAAGCTATAAAAAGAACGATGGTACACAAGTTAAAGTTCCATTAGACAACAACTGCTACTTAAACTTATATGGAGACGAACAAAAGAAATATTTCGGAGTTTATGAAATGACAGATATG